TTCTCTTGGGGTCACAGAAGAACTTCTGCTGAAAGTTATGCTGACCTGGATGCGTAACTTGCCATGTTTTCCTTGCTTTTCACAGGTGTTTATTTTTTGTGGATGTGTGAAACTGGTATTTCTTTCATGTGTTTGGATGGTGTTGTGCTGTGTGATTTTCTATCCAGATTCCCAGGTTTCTGGGATCGGCGATTCGGAGCGGTCCCGCTTGTAATAGTGGTGGAACGTAGCCATGTTGGGCTTGTAGTAGTGGTGAATGGTGACACTGCGCAATAGCACGCACCCCAGGAACGAATTGCGATACAAGCAATGCCGTGGCTGTGGACCACTTGTGAGGTATGTATGGCGTAGTATGGTATGGTGTGGCATTGTATGGGACCGCATTTCACTCGATGTAATGTCGTGTGATGCAATGTAATTGATGTACAAACTGCATGTATCATAATGTATCGATGTACCTTGGAAGCCTTCCAGCTTGCAGGGACCGTTTCTGGGTTCTTATATATATATATATATCACATGTATAAATATATAGGTAAAACATAATAATTAATTAACCTGAAATAAGGTCATTTCGGGATAGTCACCCCTACTATGTAATCATCATTCCCAGTGAGGTCGCAGTGAGGTTGTTCTAATTTACCCAGATCTATATGTATATACAGTATATATCTAAAGGACCATTCTCCCGGTGTGATTGTCTATGCAGGCTACCCGACTACTACCCAAAAGGTGATCGTGCAACAAGTTTATGTTTCCTGGGTTGGCATTATTGGATTATGTCTATAATATAAATATATATATATATATTAATTATATTATACATGTGTATATATATATATATATTATATTATATTATATTATACATGTATATATGGTATTATACATGTATATATTATATTCTATTATATTATATATTATATTCTATTATATTAAATTATATTATATTATATTATATTAAATTAGATATTATTTTATATTCTTATATATTATATTTTAATATATTATATTATATTATATTAAATTAAATTTTATATTTTATATTATTTATTATTATATATTATATTTTATTATGTAATTTTCAATTGTATTATATTGTATTATATTATATTATATTATATTATATATAACTACAATATTATATATATATATATATCCCAGTATATGCCAAATCTCTGTCATATCCCAATTTACCACCAGCATTTTGGATCCCAAAGGTCCAAGGATCGCAGCAAATCCTGACCCAGGTTAGGCCGCAGGAACTTCTGCATCACCTCCGCTGCGGGTGGCGTTATAACGTACGATCTAGCGGGAATCATGACACAACTGACACATCCTGACGCCTCTGGGGTTTGGGGTTACAACTATTGTGTATAACAAGAGTTGACTTGGAGGATCAAGCCAGCAATTGGTAAATAACAGCCAGTAGCAAGTCCTCTAAGTGGCTTAACTTGTCTATACATGAGTTATAAACATGTTTATAAACCACTTACGATCCGTGGGAGGATCCTCCAAGCATGTTGATCATAAATCAGGATTGATTTGGAGAGAGGGGGAGACTCCAAGTTATGGCGTTAATGGGAATCATGATTAAAAAAACCTCTGGATTTTCAGATACCCTAGTTTTTACCCAAACCTGTAAGTATGAAATTGTATACGTATGTATATATGTAATATATATCGAAGGTCTGCGCCAAGGTACTTTCTCGTTTGTGGTCTTGCTCAGGTCAAGTGTCTGTCTCAAGGATCCCCATTGAAACACGACGGATGACGAAAGACGACGAAGAGGAAAAAACGAGCAAAAGGGTTTCAAGGGTTCCTCTACGGGACCTCCTGGGGAAGAAATTCCAAGGGTTCCTCTCCGGGACCTCCGGGGAGAGAAACAGAAAAAAATAAAAAAATAAGACGGGCAAATACCATTGAGAAAAACACATAGCATGTTTTAGGCATATTTGCAATGTTCGGTCGCAAGTGTTCTTCCCCGGGGTATGGGTTTGTCTCCGGGATTTTATTTTTATTTTTATTTTTTTTGCAGCCTTGAGCGCGAGCCTTCACTGTGGGAAAACACTTGGCCCTGAGAAATCCTTCGGATATGGGAAAGTTTTCCAGGGAATACGGCTGGGAAACCAGGACCTTTGAGGAGGGGAAAAAGAAAGCACCTTTGATACAGGGAGGAGGGTTGAGACAGGCACATACCATTGAGAAGTTAGAAAACCCTTCATCCAGACTTTTGAATATACATATACATATGTATATATATATAGAGTATTAATACATATATATCTAGCTAGTATCAGGTCTGCAAACTAGACCAAACTGACTGGTTTGTCACTAACTAGATTGTAAATTGGAAATGCATCGCCCCCATTTTGTTGGCAAAATCCAACAAGGTACCCTCCAGTATGAAATTGTGAGAATTCTTAGAACTATTATTGATATCTGTTGATATAATTCTCTTGGCCAGCAATTTACCATGTAAGCAATGCCAATCTTAGATACTCTGCCCAAAAAATATCTGGTTGGTAGATAAACCCATTGATACCAAAAGACCAAAGGATTAAAGTACCCATCCAAGGTTAACCTAGGTAAGTTGAAACAATTTTTTACTATGGGGTGACAGCCAAAAGATATCACTAGATACTGTCAGGTGATGACTTCAACTGGACTTCAACTGGCCTTATTGGTGGCTCCCCAAATTGGGGGACGCCAAGTTATCATGGCTTCATTTCGCCCTGTGAAAAACACCAGTCGTTTGCCTTATCATGGGTTATTTCTATTTTAGGGAACACTCCCCAAATGGGATAATGTGGATAAAACAATAAAAAGAGGTGGCATAAACCATTCCCAAATGGGTGGTTTATGGCATAGTTTTACCCACATAACAGTTTGACCACTCAACCCACATGCAAACAACCCAAGAAAACAAAAATCCCCGAATCCAAACGTGGTCACCAGCCAGTCCGCGACCAAGGAACTTGTCGATGGCGCCACACAGGGATCTTCAGGCAGTGACCGTGATACCAGTTGATTCGTTCCTTACCATAAGGATCATCCCAATTCATCCGTGCACGGGTGTAATGTGGGGCCCCCGTTAACGATAGCTCGCGACAAGTTGGTGCACATAATTCGGTGAATTTTATGGTGGATATAACTATATGGCTAATGGGGGTTATAAACCAACTTCTAAATATGGGGCCCCACATTGTACATTTTTTTTCTTAAGAAAATGGCGCATGATAGCGTTTAGAATGCTACTACTATTACCTACAGTAGAAGAAATGATAAAAAACATACAAGAATATAACCAATTATATATATATATGTGCAATCAATTCTAATATAGATCTAAGATTCCCAAAAACAATGTGTATAACATATCATACATGGTCCCAGTACTTATCAAATAAGCGTACGAAACAACATGTCTGTCGATTGAATCACCAAAATTCCACGCTTCTATGGTGAGTTTGGACACTGAGGTTGGAAGAATTCCTCAGGTACTATTGACATATATCTAAAGTGTTTATATGAGCTGTTACGCTGTTACTGTTCTACACGGCTATCGCTGCATATTATATAATATGTAAATATATATAATATAAATTATAAAATATAATAATAATTATTATTATAATAAAAACAAATACATAAATAAATATAAATATATATATATATAGACTGTACGAAAACCTTGCTGATGCTAGTTTACAGGCAAAGGGCAAACATACAACCTGGCGCGCAAGGCCAAGGGGCCACTCTGCAAGCCGCATGGGCAACGGCGACTAAAAGGGAAGTGAAACAGAACGGACCTTGAAACTGAAACTGGGCCCGTGAATTATTCGAGGTGAGGTGACACAATGAAACAATCCAATGCAGGAAAGCTGCAAGGAGAAAAAATAAAGGCAGCACTCAAAACAGGTAGAGGATGGAGACGATGGATGAGTCGAAGGGTGGACGGAGCTGGTACTTAGAGGCGGCGGGGAACCGCTCTGGCATTCTCAACTTGCAAGGCCACCGACAGCGACTTCTCTGATCCCCCTCGAGATGCATTGAGCCACGGTGGATCCCCTAAAGATCATGCGTGGACCTTCTTGCAGCAACTTGGTGTCGTGGTAAAGATCGTTCTTTGGGAACACATCGAATGTCGTAAGCAGTCGATGAGCCATGCTGCCATCAGGATTGCACCCTCCTGGTTGCAAGATTTCCTTTCAGAGTTTGCCGCAGACTTCTAGCAGTTGGGCTTTTGGAAGGTCCGACTGAAGCCGAAATGATCCGCCGAGCTCATTCACATCGGGGCATGCCTCGAAAGGCCCTGCTGTGGCTCCAGATTTGGTGCCCACTGCCTGTGCTGCATGTGCATTTGACAGATTGTCTGTTTGAATGTTCCACTCAAGTTGTCTGCATGACTGCAAGGCTTTCAAAAGTCCACGATATCTGTCCACAAATCGCACCTGGCTTCACGGATCTTTGCTTTGTCATCATCTCCCTTATCGTCAGAAGGCTGCTTGCCGGCCATCACGCCGTCAATATATATATATAATTAATTATATATACATATATATATTATGATATATGTATCTATATCTATATATATATATATCATATATCCTATTGAAGCTAGTTATACCTGATGATTTTCCCAAGATTTTCCTAACCTCTTCGTTTTTTCGTTCGCCTTGGGATGCCCCGGTGGGATTTCCCGAGCTGCGCTGCAGCCATGAAGCGAAGTTCACGGGACAGGCCTTGGGGACCATGCCTGGGATCACTGGGATCGCGACCGTCGAATTTTCAACGGATTTTACAGTTATGGCCATTTACCAATTATAACTGGTTATAAATGGGGTTATATATTCTATAAATGGGGTTATAAGTACGTATAACTGGTAAAGGGCCATAACTGTAAGGGATTTTTTTCAGGAAAGCCCCATATTTGCTGGGAAAATCATGGAAAATAACTCTGGTTTCCGGTTTTTTGAGATTTTCCCACCAAAACCAATCCATTGAAATTTCCGACTGAGAACATGGCTGGCTTAATATGAACATATACGAAATATATCTGGTTGATGGTTAGGTTTAACCATCTTGAAAAATGATGGAGTTTGTCAAATGGGAGTATTATTCCCAATATATGGAAAAAATAAAATTCATGTTCCAAACCACCAACCAGGAAATATAGGGCTGAAAGCTGAACATGTATGAACATTTTCCCGTATACACCGAAGTTTTGCCTAACTATACCATAGTATATCTATTGATTCAATAGGTTGGGCATAGCAGCATTGATAAATCATTGCACTAAATGGATAGCAAAGTTGGGAGTCAACGTTTGAGACCTCTAATGTTGGTGGATTCCCCATGAAACAAAATCGGGATTTAAGTAGGAACTTAAACAGTGATAGGGATGTACACCTAAAACACATGGCGATATAATGCTGACATAATAGGGATACCCTCTGGTACTTTAACATAGCTATTGAACATGGCCCATTTATAGTTGATTTACCTATTAAAGATGGTGATTTTCCATAGCTATGTTAGTTTACCAGAGGGTATGTACACCCAACAAAATCCATATGAGCCATGTCTTATATCCTGGCACCAAGCTAGGAAATGCTTACGCCGGGCTTACGCCATTGCTTCCGCTTTGTTTACGCGCACACGGGTTTTGCTTACGCGGATATCTTGTCTTACGCTGGCTTGCGCTCTTCAGATTTTTGCGCCACACCCTTAAAAGCGGCCCTTCCTTCCTAAACATGAACGCAAGGGTTTAGAACGTGGCTCATTTGGTCGTGCCTCCCAGTGAACTATTTGTTAGATCTATTCAGCTTTGTCTGAAAACAGGCTACTCCAAATTCAATCGTTAATCACATTTTCCTACTACGATGGCCATTTGAAGGGTATAAAACCATATAAAACCCATTTTCAAGTTGGTTGAGAATGGGATTCCCGTTCATGGATTGTGATGTTCCCAATACTATATGTTAGTAATTTGTTAGTGTACAATCCCAAAGTAATCTACCAGGGTTATGACCCCGTGTAGAACGGAGAAAGTGGATTTTAGCAAAAAACAAAAAAAACATAATCACCAAAAAAACAAATCGACAGGAAGAATCACCAGAAGAAACAAAAAAAACAAGAAACAAACAATAAAAAACAAACAAGAATCAAAACCTGCATTTTCCGCAGTTTCTTTTCCTTGCTTTTTCCTTGATTTTGGTTTTCTAGTTTTTTTTTTTGTTTGCTCTATTTTTTTTTGTTTTTTGTTTTTTTTTTGTCAACCCCTATATTCTCTGTGTTGTTGGACTCATAATATACCAGGGTGTCGAAATGCAGCCACTGCTCAAATTCAACCAACATTTTGTTAGCAATTCTTATAGTTTTATGTCCCATTATATATTCTCAGTATGTCCACCATCAAATCTCAACCGCCTGAAATTCCATTCAATCGGCATTGAATCACCAAGACACATTGACCATCGGAGCGGGATCCTCTCAGCAGCACTTGTCGCGGTATCGCCAACATCCCCATCTTGGTATCGGAGACAGTGGTCATGTCGTTGGGTGAAACCGTGAGTGAAAGGTGGAAGCGGGTTTTTGGGGTCCCCGTTGACGATGGCGTTGGTAAACATGAGATGGGCTGGATTCTATCTGGTGGTGTACCCATCCCTCTGAAAAATTATGGAGTGAAAGTCAGATGGGATGATGACATTCCCAATATATGGAAAAATAAAAAATATATTCCAAACCACCAACCAGTGTGTATATATATATATATAGCATAACCACCAACCACCAACCAAACCACCAACCAAACCACCAACCATATTCTATGGTTTAATTATAGATACCACATTACTTGTAGAAACTCGAGTTTCAAATCGCAGGGAGCCTAGGGATGGGGTTAAACATGGACCATGGTTCCCATGGTTGCTATCCAAGGACTTCAGCGGATGGTTCCTCCAAGTGTAATAACGCGTCACTGCTCCATGGTATCACCGAGTGGAAACGTTCCTGAAACAATCGGGAAACTGACTTCCAGAAGGATTTTTATCAGTGAATCCCGCTTTGAATCCAGCAAGATTGGTTCACCGGGCCGCCTGGTTCTGATATCTCTTCGGCGCATAGATGAGTTTGGGAAACTGGACAATGGGCGTGCTGCACATCACGGCAAACACCTGGGCGGCGATGTTGGAAAGAAACGGCAAACAACATCTGCTTCCGTGGGAAATATACGAGTACCACTTTGCTATCGCACATCTGCATGTTTAAAAAGCTGTTGTCATGAAACTAAATGGACCATGTTTCATCCATTTTTCGGCTGCAAAGCGTTAAATGACCGGAGAATAGCTGGAAAATGATATTTTGCTCACGTGTCTTTAAAGAATTTTGTCCACAACTTCTAGTGTTTGTTCACGTTGGTTCTCAAGAGAAAACAAATTTGTCCATCTGTAAGAGACCCTTGGAGGACGTTCAAACGTATCAACATCCTACTTAGACCGCAAACAAAAAGAAAGATAAAGGGAAACGAAGAGTCCATGATCCTCGGTAGTTTTTAGTATCAGTATCAACAAAGGAAAACCGGCAACGGCCTTTTGTTTCGGGGGTCTTAATCACCATCAAACCCTATTGTTGGGGCCCAGTTGGGGCGTATTAAGCTGCATTAAGCTGCATTAAGCTGGGCCTCCCTGGTAGGGGTACACATTTTCTTTGAACATCGTTGCCGGATTGCAGATCATCGGATGTGCTGAGGTTGGAGATCCAGAAGATGATAGACGTATCTAGTAGCCTCTGGTAAAGTAACATAGCTATTGAAAATCACCATCTTTATATAATAGGTAAAACAACTATAAATGGGCTATGTTCAATTGATATATTAAATTACCAGAGGGTATTGCCAATTATAGTACAATCAAACATGATGGGACACACCTTAGAAAAAACGAGCAACTGACGATGAGTCACCAGGACATGTTCTGTCTCACGACTTTTGTTTCTCAAACTGGTTCAAAGACTACAGGAGTCTTGGAAAGCGTTCCCTCATCCCCCACGTAGCTAAGTTGGTGTTTAAGTTGTTTTTTTAGGCTTTGTGGATGTTTAATTATGATATATGACATATCCATCTACTTAACTAGTTACAGATAGCTGGGGTAAACATAAACCAACGTAAACTAACTCACTGGGCACCACCTTGTAGGTCCATCTGCCAAATTTCTGACGAACTTCTCATAATTCCCAGCTATTCCATGTATTCCCAAATTTCACAGATTAATGCTGCTTCATAATTTCCCCTTGTTCAATGGCCATTCCAGGATGGTACCATATATAAGGCCTATATAAGGCCTAAATTTCAGGGAATATCCCCACAAAATATGGCCAAAAATATGGTACAGTACCTCCATTTTTGGATCCTGGAGATCTCCCATTGTCTTGTATTCTGTGGATGATATGTGTTTGTCTACCTAACGAGTCGGCCATGTTTTGAGGATGATTTCCCCTGACGCGACGTGACATTTGCCAAGCAACGATGGCTTGACTGATCTGAAAGTAGTGGTTTCCTATCCTGCACCGCGGGCTCGTGGGGATCCCCCCAAAACAAAACACACACGAAAAGGTCACACAAAATGATATATGTTATCCCATGTTATCCCATGTTATCCCGTTATCCACCATGAATATCTACCATAAACATCCATAAACCATAGAATTCACCTAGTTTTGTGTACCAAAACCATAGTTATCCCACGTGGTTCCTCCATTTTTGCCATATTTTTTTGTTGCATCACCGATTCGTTCCCACCGCGGAAGATTCCACTCCTTCCATTCCACTCCTTGATGGTCACCTCGGCGGCTGTCAACTTGGTGAACGAAAGGAGTTTATGGGCTATACAATGCTATACTAACATATAGTTATAGTGGAATATGTATTTATATATATATATAGTTATTGGAATATGTATATATATATATTATGTAACATTAAGAATAACTTAAATAACTATGACTATATGTTAATATAATGGGTTATAATATATATATATATATATATATATACATAACTACAGTTAGTGGGATATGTGCATACAACTATAGTTAAGGGGGGTCCTAAGATGTTCGAAACTGACTTATAACTGGGCGGAACCACATGGTAAGTTGCTAACGATGGGTTTACCAACAAACTTACATATGATAGGGAATCACGCTGCCATAGTCATTTATAAATGTTTGCTTTTTCTATGGAACATCAGGAACATGTCCATTGGGATGACAAGTGACGGTTGCACCTCAAAAGGTATGGCTGGAATTCCTGGGTGTATTTCCGATGTTTGAAGAGACATATGGGTGTTAAACTTGCAACATGGAGAAGTTCATTGTATGTTCAAGGAAACGGATAGGATGATGATTCAATTATATCAAAACTAACAAATCGTTATTTCTATTTTTTTTGCGACAACCCCGTTACTCACAGGATCGAAAAAAATGATCATGTTTTTCTTAGAAAGGAGCCATACTTTCTGAGTCAACAGGGATTTGCAGATCAAAACTTCACTGAAGTGGTGTCGGTCAATTGTCCCGGGTCTCACACTGACCCCTACACATAGATGGTTTGTCTTAAAATGGCTTTGTACGCCAGACATCGTCAAATCAGCAATTTTGTTGGGGAACGGGGAACATGATGATAAGACATATGGATTTGTCCTAAAATGGGCCCCAAATCATCCATGAATTGAATTTTTAGGATATGGATTTTCCATTTTCCGTGATATAAACCATCCAGCTATTGGGGTACCCGCATGTATGGAAACCCCCCAAAAATGGATCTTAATGCTTTTTCCCACAATGTTCGATCAAAAACAATGCAAAAAAAACATTGAACATACCCCTCTGAAAAATATGAGTTCGTCAGTTGGGATAATGAAATTCCCAATATGATAGAATAAACATGTTCCAAACCACCAACCAGATGTGGTATTTTGCAAATATGTATGTAATGCTTTATATACTATACTAAAGCATTATACACATCATCGGCAAAAGTCAAATGAAGTCAAACTTCCGACAAAATGGACAGATGCAAAGCAGAGATGGGAAGAGTATTATTGGTATGAATATTAATTACGTTATATACCATTTAAGATCCTAATTATATACCATGAAAAAAGTGGAGCCAAACTCCCCTTGAAGCGTGGGCACCGTCTCTGGGCAGCGTTTGTTGAAGCGCTTGACTTCTGGGTCCTGGACGCGGCGCACGTGGTGTCTCGTCGTAGAGTGCGGTGGATCGCAAGGATTAAACATTAGGACCTTAACGGTCCTTAACCAACAAAAAACATATAAAAAATCATGGGAATTTCGTGGGAAATCAGGAATTCAAAACATGTCTAATATTGTCTAATTAGTGTACGTGTTTTTTGATATTTGTTGCCATCTCAAATCACAGCGCGACCCTGAGAATCAGAATTGACTTCAAGTTTCGAGGAACGTAACTTGCAGTACCTAGACTCTACTCTGGGAAACGCAAGCAAAGTACGTAGATGTTTTATATCATGAATTCCTTTGTGTATCTATTCCGGCATTCCTTTTGTAAAGCTGCGTGCAGAGGAATAGGGATAGATGAAATTGTCAATGGAAGTGAATGGATTAAGAAACCTAGCTTAGAGTCTATTTGCCAGCCACGTTTCTTAGCCAAAGGGTCATGGTCAAGAAACATGTTAGACTCTAACTCAAAAATATGCATCTTTATCACACGGCTCAGCCGTAGACCAACTACAGTACCGCTGGTGGTATTTAATCAGCATCATGGTACATCTATGTGCAGTTGGATGGATGAACACAGACAATATAAAGCAACGTATCACTCGAGGAGGCAACACTGTGTATCAACTGGCTGGTGCAGCCGGGTAGATTCCAGAAATATGGCGATAGATTCAGCAAGGGAAAAGCAGTGCTGCGGGTACCAGAAACCTGAAAACCCTAAAGAAATCCTAAAGACACCTTAAAGAAACCCTAAAGAAGCCTTAATTTTAGACCCTGTATACATAAGCCGTATATAAATAAAGCCTATATTAAAAAAACAAAACTACATCAAAGCTAAATAAATCCATGAATTTGTGTGCCGATCAACAAACATAAAAAATTCCCTCAGTGTGCCGGTGTAGGCTTTACTCAGTTAAAATAGCTATTGGTTTATGGAGGTTTCAACGGGGATACCCCAAGTCACCATGGTTGTTGCAATACTAATATGGTCTAATTTTGGATTATTTTGGGGGTATCCTCTGGTAATTTAACATAGCTATTGAAAATGGTCATTTATAGTTGATATTCCCATTAATAATGGTGATTTTCCATAGCTATGTTAGTTTACCAGAGGGTATTTTGGGGGTAAGCCTATTTTAGGAAACCCCATGTATATTAAGTATGCGCATGAATATTGGCGTTTAAATTCTTATTCTTCCCAGGGGAACATTCTGGAACATTCCTCATTTTTTTTCGTTGATGATTTCATCGTGCTTGACAAATATCCCACACTTTCCAAACTTACCCCCTGGTTATGACTAACAGTTCGCCATGGAAAATCCATCCATTTTTAATACGTCCACCATCTATTTCTATGGGCCGGGCCATCTATACCATAGCTACGTTAAATAACCAAAGGGTACAATATCCCGGTTGCGTAGTGTTGCTTAAATCCATCCCTGGGTTGTAAAAAAACATCTCACCACCAAGACTGGGCCGACAGAATCACCCAGTGACGCAGCTCATACTGTGGACCGATGGCAAGGTGACATTCATGTCGGATGCGGTGGATGCTGCGCGGGAAGATTCATCTGGGCAGGAAATTGAAGATCCCAAATGGGAGCGTAAATTTGGATGTTTCGTATTTATGTTTGAACATCCAAAATAGACGTGTGTTAGAACAACATGTCCAATGATATTATGTTGAACTATGTTGATTATTGTCAGGTTTCTTACTACACATGTTACGTACGTGTTATTGTTATTAGCGAATAATGTTTGTGATGAAGGTTATTGCAATATTACCCTCTGGTTATTTAACATAGCCATGGACAATGGCCCATAGAAATAGATGATTTTCCCAGCTATAAACCTCCATTTATGGTTGGGATTTTCCATGGCTATGTTAAATAACCAGAGGGTAATCTCATTTGTGATTTGTTTAGATATTCACCAGCTACAATTCCTCAGAAATACCGCGGGAAAGGTTTGAATGGTTCAGCAACATCTATACAATGTGAGGCTCCCAAACGATAGCTAAGTTGGTGCACATAGCTCCAATAACTATGGTTTATGGTACTTATAACGAACTAGTTACTGGGGCGAATCTAAACCAATAAACATAACTGGGGGGCGCCACATTGTAGGCATTGAATCAAAGTAAATAGGGATTTCATCAACTAACAGAAAGAGAAAACTTCACCCACAGGGACGTAAATAGCAACATCCAAAATGACTATAGGGTTTTTCACCGACCAAATACGTTACATTGACATGCCCTTTAAGAATTTTCAGTAGGACATAGTTGACATAGTCATATGTCTCCCTCAAAAAAAACAAGAACATCATCCACCAACTTGCCATTCACCTAGGTACCTTAGGTACCTAGGTGACCCTCCCTGAAACTGTCCCCAACTTCATAGGAAAAAACAATATGGATTGATGTACCATGATCACTACAACGCGTCCAGTTGTGCACCTCAAATCAGCCTATACATCAGTGTTTTTGTTTTGTGGTGTAGAAAGCAGGAAGAACATGTTTTCCTATGTGGGGCCAGAGTAAGTTGATTTATAAGTTGATTCATTTGAACCCCTCTACATATAGTGAAAACTATTATAACACCCAGTTGACCTAGTTATGAACCATCTTGGCTGCCATGTCATGGCCAATCTTAGATACTCTTAGTTATAAACCATTTTTGGTTTATATATCCTCATCAACATGACAATACAACAAAGTACTAAAGTAAAAGTGCGGCCAAACACCTCGTCTTGCCCGCGCCTGTTGGCCCGCCTTCTTCGTATGAGCTGAAAACGTGGTAAAAATGAAATATTTTAGCATTATGCTTAACTTGATGTTCTAGATCAGAACGCACAGCAGAGGGACCTGTGCGGGTTCGTTCCACATCCACATCATCATCATCATCATCATCGTCATCATCATCATCATCATCATCATCGTCATCGTCATCGTCATCGTCATTGTCATCCTCATCCTCCTCCTCCTCCTCATCATCATCATCATTAGAATTAAACCCTTATTGAAGATCTTCAATGAATGTAGAAGTTTAACGGGGGTGGGAGAGTTAAACTCTTATTGATGGCCTTCAGTGAATGTAGAAGTTTAACGGGAGTGGGAGAATTAAACCCTTATTGAAGATCTTCAATGAATGTAGAAGTTCAACGCGGGTGGGAGAATTAAACCCTTATTGAAGATCTTCAATGAATGTAGAAGTTTAACGGCGGTGGGAGAATTAAACCCTTATTGAAGATCTTCAATGAATGTAGAAGTTTAGCAACGGTGGGAGAATTAAACCCTTATTGAAGATCTTCAATAAATGTAGAAGTTTAACGCGGGTAGGAGAGTTAAACTCTTATTGAAGATCTTCAATGAATGTAGAAGTTTAACGGGTGTAAGAGAATTAAACCCTTATTGAAGATCTTCAATGAATGTAGAAGTTTAACGCGGGTGGGAGAATTGAACCCTTCTTGAAGATCTTCAATGAATGTAGAAGTTTAACGGGGGTTGGGAGAGTTAAACTCTTATTGATGGCCTTCAATGAATGTAGAAGTTTAACGGGAGTGGGAGAATTAAACCCTTATTGAAGATCTTCTATGAATGTAGAGGTTTAACGCGGGTGGGAGAATTGAGCCCTTATTGAAGATCTTCAATGAATGTAGAAGTTTAGCGGGGTTGTGAGAATAAAACTCTTATTGAAGATCTTCAATGAATGTAAATTGAATGTAAAGTTTAATGGGGGTGGGACTTTTATATTCCCTAATACCTTTGTTGATCTTCCCAAGACAAGAAGGGTGTGGGCGAAACGGGGTGTTTGCGCGTTAAAAGTACCATGAAACGTCAGTCCGCCTACCTATATACATATCCCATGTCGTTGTTGATCTAATTCAAACTTTCGGGGAGTGCTGGCTCATGTTCCAGTATAAATGAGGCCAAAAAATAAAGGATCCTGAATTGGAGGTACGTACCATATCTAACACGTATGTAAGGCTTTCTGGTTGCTGGTTTCAACCCCTCTGAAAATATTATTCAGTTGGGATGGTTATTCCCAATATATGGAAAAATAAAAAAATGTTCCAAACCACCAACCAACTTTATATATGTGGCACAGGACCTCCATTTTATGGTCCTGAATTGTCCTTTGAAAGTTGTTGAATGAGGCCAGTATGTCATCTATCGTCATGTACCAATTTAGGGTTCTTCATGAGGGTGGGCCACCCCCACTTATAAGTTGGCTTATAAACCCCTTATAGGTAGAACTTGGTAGAACTATTATTAATATTCTTAAACACTAGTCAGTCCAGTTACACACCAACTTAGCTAAGGGGGCGCGCATTGTAGGATATCTATGGCAACCTACAAAGCAAACACTGACCTCTGAGCCTATTCTTCGGACGATTTCAATGCCGATCTGATTTTCGGATTGATGCTCCCCATCCCAGATGAAATCAGTCCGGAGCGCCATCAGGATCTTGCACGTTCACTTCGAAGCTTTCAACCGTGGTCGTGGTCGTGGTGGTCGTTCTGAGAAGGGAACATCGACCGAAAAGCCAGGTTATTTAGCACCCAAACATTACAATTTTCTTCAACCGAGCTGATCCATTTTCATGAAACGTAGCTATCTACAAAAAAACATTCAAAACAAATTATCCATGTAGGTGAATGTATCAACAGCATGGATAGCAACATTTTATATAAACAGCACCACAGAAACCCTGGTTCCGTTGTGTATCTGTTGATTTTTGGGGCACTCATTCAGATGGAATTGAGGGGTCCTTAGTTCATGATTTCAAACCATCCACGAATACTGACAGTGATCATAATGTCGCCATGGATCCAAATACCGTTTGAATGAATATGGTATGATGTCGCAGATTTAATGGCCACTCGGGAAGTATTTGGATGCATAGGGAATGCGATATCACAAAGTATGATTAAGTATAATATATATATAATATATATATATAAATACAATATGGGAATCTCACAATATGGCAATGGAGATTGCGTCCATTAGCCACCATATGTACCTACGGCGGTGCGCCGAAGTTATGAGTTGGTTTGTAAATGAGATTTAACTATGATTTCACTATGAATATATCTCCCATAAACCTTACTTAACGTATTGTACCTGTGCCAATGCAGCTAAGGACTGTTGGGAACCACCTTGCACCTCTAGGTATCAGAGCTGACAGGACTTGAGACACTGGAAACCCCAACCTTGATTTCTTCCCCTTGGCTGAGCGAATTGTTGATTACCTGTAAAAAAAGTACCTAAACGTATCAGTTTTTGGTCATATAAATGGTGCCTGGCACCCTCTGTTCTCAAAAGTGAAAGACTGAACGACTCAAAAAATAGTCAGCGGCTACAATCCATCCATTTCTGAAGTAGAACTACCCACCGAAAAAACCATATAGTTTTGCTGAGATTTTGAACGCTGACCATCGCTGACCACATCGAAATTCGGGATGGGATGGCTCCATGGCCTGCAGGAACTGGTAACCATCATTTTGGTGAAATCCTCACGTGTATTTCCCGACTCACTGTGGGGCCCCCAACATGGAAAAATCATGAGAAAAACCTATAGGAAAATCGTGATTTCATGGGATTTATGGCTGATTTATGAGAGCTAAGTTGGTTTTTAATTTGGTAAATTTTGTGGTTTATGGTGGATACAACATGATACAACTAACTAGTATTCATGGGGTGAATCTAAACCAACATTCACATAACTCTGGGGGCTAGATACATCCCCATTATCCCCATTGTTGATTCTTAAATTCTACTAGATCCCATTAAATCACCATTAAATCACTAAATCACCATTAAATCACCATTAAATTCCACTAGATCCCATTAAATTACCATTAAATCACCATTAAAACCCATTAAATCACCATTAAATCACCATTAAATCACCATTATAATTTTTTGTCCCCATTTAACCACCCAGAAACCATGGTGGATGTGGTGGATGCACAACTTATGTTAAGGTCACGACTGAGCCCAGCATCGCTCCAGATGTGGTCGTTGTGGTCGTTGTGGTGGTGGTGGTGGTCGCTAAAGGGTCCGCGGCTTCTACGAATTTGCCTTCCTGGCGGCTGTATTCACCTGAGGAATCCAGAGAAAGAGAGAGAGAGAGAAAGAAATGTGGTATTTTGCAAATATGTAGGTCATGCTATAAATATACATATATATATACTAAAGCATATACACATCATATGAATATATTACGTTCAAACATACCTGTAGCTTCAGGAAACAACATACCTACACAGTATATCTACGCTGTTGTACACTGGCGTAGAATGTCATGTCATGTCTGTCCAAGACCCTTCCCAATCCTCATCTCCCCTGGGGATTCTGAACCCCTTGTGACCCCAAACCACTTGGATCTAAGTCATTTGAATCCATTCATATTCAGTATAACACCGGATGTTATTGAAACGTGCTATAAGATGCTATAAGTATACATATATATATATATATGGAACATGACCTATTTATCGATGTTTTATCTATTAAACATGGTGATGTTCCACTTCGCAAAGTGTCATTTTATGACCAGCGGCTACACCAATTTTTGACCGCTAAAAATTCACAGCCGAAAGGCAAACGTAAGGCCCAGTAAAGTTCCACCAAGGAAATTCCTGCAGCCATCGTAAGGGACCGCCCTCTTTCAGCGAGTCCATTGGTACCTGTGCGGAGCCCGCATCATTTTTGTGGTGTAAAAAATGTGTATACAATGTGGGCCTACCTAGATAGCCAAGTTGGTGCACATAAGTTGGTGAATTCTATGGTTCATGGTGGATGTAACTATAATCATAGAATGGGGTTTATAATCAATTTTATAACTATGGGGCCCCACATCATTTATATATATAAATATGTAACCCATACAAAATTCATACATCATCTGTATCCAACCAATATCTAATCCATATATGTAAACCATCCATATATAATCGATATAGCCAAATATAAGCCATGCAACGGGATGCAGATCCAAAAGAGCAACACAGATCTCTGGAGCGTTGCTGACCGGAGATTTTTTGGATGACCAATATATGTCTATCATTGTCTATCTGTCTATCTGCATGTATATATATATATATATAGTTATATATATATACCTGTCTGTCTGTCTGTCTGTCTGTCTGCCTGTCGATCTATCTATCTATCTATCCATCGAATTTTATATCTTAATATTCAATATTAAGATATTATTGTCTATCTGTATATTTATTTATCTATCTATCTATCTATCTTATCTTATCTTATCTTTCTATCTATCTAATCTTTATTTCTATCTATCTATCTACCTATCTATCTATCTATCTATCTATCTATTTAACTATCTATCTATCTATCTATCTTATCTTGTCTTATCTTATCGTATCTTATCTTATCTTATCTTAACTTTCTATCTATCTAATCTTTATTTCTATCTATCTATCTATATTGATCTATTGATCTGTGGTAAACATATTCTGTTCGTATGCCAGCAGCAACCTTATTTTCACCAACCATTGGATGAAAACAACAGTATCGCTATTGGAGCCGCCAGTGAGGTCGTCATAATTCGCTAGATCTGACATATATATATATATTTGTCGTCTTCATATAATTATGCCACGTATAATATCATATGTATATAATTGTGTATGTGTATATATATATAATAAGTTGTTGTTTCCAATGATTGGGAACGCTATCAAATTCCCAAGACTTACCATCGAGATTTGTCAATCGGGTTTTTTGGTTCCGCCAGTTTAGAGAAGCCACACAAATTACAGGTGCCCCCTTCTTCAAGCTGGCTAATAAGTACTGGTTGGTGGTTAAAAAACACCATCTTGAAAAATATGAGTTCGTCAATGCGAACGATTATCCCATATATGAAATGAAAAAAATAAAAATCATGTTTGAAACCACCAACCAGCTATCGTTATAGGTATCATAAACCATAATTATAGTAGTACAGGTATCCCAATATATGGAAGTTATAAAATTCATGTTTGAAACCACAACCAGAGTAGCTTCACTAGGGATCCATAGATATTTGGGGGGCATCACCTTGTACCTCCAAAACCAGGGCTCTGAAAATAGGGAGTGCATCGCAATTCCAACAAACGGTTGTCATTTTCTGACCAAACTTGTTGTTTTTGGTATCAGTTATATCCACTTATATCCCTATAATTCCCTATATATTTGATGATATCCCGATCTGGTTGGTGGTTGAGCCCTACCCCTCTGAAAAATGATGGAGTGAGTTCGTCAGTTGGGCTTATGAAATTCCCAATATATGGAAAGTCATAAAATTCCATGGTTCCAAACCACCAAGCAGTTGTTGTTTTTAGTATACCCTCTGGTAAATTAACATAGCTATGGAAAATTATCATTTTTCATGGGTAAATCCACTATAAATGGCCATTTTCAATAGCTATGTTAAATTACCAGAGGGTACTCCATTTTCAAACAGACCCAGATCATCCATACATTCCAGTGGATCCAAGAACCTTCTGAATTTCTGTCGCATGAATTCGCGTCGCGGTTTTTCTTCAACCCCAGAAGTATTTGGACCCACTGAGGGGCCCCCGCAAGTGCAGTTTCAGTGAACTATATAAGCGAATCCCAACTTTTCACCATAGTTTTTTCCTATACTTTTTTTCCATATCCCAACTTCTGGGGATCAAAATGTCGACCGTTATACCCATGGAAATCACTCAACTGCACCCTCGAGAAATTGAACGACACGAACACCGTACAAATCCGTACACCCCACAGCTCTTCAAGCCTACCAGGTACCATCTTCACAGCCCAGATAATATACACCCCACCCAGGTGTTGGAAGATGAGTGTCCAATAAAAAAACTGGGTCCATGTCGGTTAATCGAGCAGCGTTCAAAATCCAAAGGTTGGTTAATAGGAATTCCCGTAATGGATTGTGATAAGCATCAATATAAATGTTTATTGGGTAGTATAACTCCCAATCATCAATCAACAGGAGTGTCTCCCAGCCACTGCTCAATTTACTGGAGGATCTATCAGAGACAAACAATCTATATAGACGTCTTTTGGACTTCCTCCTCTCAGGTGATCCTAGAACATTGTTCTTGTCGTACCCTTCGTCTAACTAAAGTAGATATGTACAACCCATGATTAGTTTTTCTAGGGGAAAGGTTTTCTATGTATTTGAAAAATTACTGGAGGGTAAAATAGTTCCCACTTTTTTCTGCGTCAATTTCCCATGCTCTGAACCGATACAAGGAACGTTGTAAGCTTTGTACTCGTACATCACTGTACCAGGCCAAATGTTGCAGTTCCTCGCGTCGGGCGCGTCCAATAAAATAAAGCAATTTGAGCATGATCAAACTCGTTGCTTAAAAGGGATTCCGATACTGGATTCTGATAATCCAGAAATATCCCCAATATATTGGGTAATACAAATCCCCAATATTATATATATATGTGTATATTATATATATATATATAATTGGGTAGTACAACCCGCAGGGTTTTCTTACGCCCTGAGGCTTGAAGATCCCTGTGACCATTTTTCAAGTCATTGGAAAACTGCTTTTATGGAGCTATTTGCAATTATTATTCGTGCCACTGTATGTTGATTTGGTCTGTGACTGAATGTTAAATAGTCGCAACCCAATAGCAAAGCGCCCGGGTTTGTGCAAAAACACACAAACTGACAGGAAAAGGTCACTGCCTCAAAGTGTACTCAAAACATAGGCGACAACTTTCACTGTGCCTGTAGCACAATAAAAGATAATCAAGCAATATCACACGTGTGTATATTACGTATGTATGTATGTATGTAGGTAGGTAGGTAGGTAGATCGCTATGTAGGTAGGTAGGTAGGAGGTATGTAGCTGGCTAGCTAGCTAGCTAGCTAGATAGATAGATAGATAGATAGATTGATTGATTGATAGATTTATAGATGCATAGACAGATAGACAGATAGACAGATACACAGACAGACGACCAGACAGACAGACAGACAGACAGACAAACAGACAGACAGACAGACAGACAGATAGATAGATAGATAGGTATGTATCTATATACATGTGCTATAGCCTATAGTATAACCAAACATGCAACAGTACGTACATGCTGCATAAACAGCGGGACTATAGAACCAACTACAAACTTCCAAAGTCAATCTGACAAAGTTCCCGATCACAGCTGGTAGTTGGAAGGTCAGGGAATATCCTATTTCTGCACAATTGACCAAGGATTTAATGTGATGATTATTTCATCATTTTGGAGTACACGTGATCTTTTGGACCAACCCATGGATGCCAACCATTCGCCATTTTCTGGAGCTGACCATTTTGTGGCACAAAAAAACCATTGGTCCCTTGGTTCTTTCGGCGTCCCGCGCCGAGCATGCCGAGCATCAGATTGGAATGCAGCACGCTTTCCCATTCCACTCCGATCCGGCGGTAGAGCACTTTCACCTCCGGCGGTAGGGCTTCCAATAGCCAAAAACGCCTACAGTCATTCAAGAAACTGGGTCTTGTCTCATTTGCAGAACCAACTAATGGGATCGCAAAATGAATAGAGCCAATATAGGGAGAAGGCATGAAGCTTTGGATCAAAGTCGCTCCTCGAAACAAAACCCAAATGGTTTTCCAAACAGCTCCTTTTCGGAGGTGATTTAAGCAGCTTTCTAGGGCTCAACAATCTTATCGGAACTTGTTTGGAAGTCTATAGGCTGATGAAATAGTAATTCAAACTATTGTCACTCGCAAATGCGCTTGGTCACAACGTCAAACTTCATAGCGTTGAACAACATACAGAAAATCATACTATCTGTAAGATCTGCAAGTACGCAAGAACAGCTTGAATGTTGATTGGCCCTCCTCCTACTAGTACATTTAAACTGTATTGTTTCACCTAGTGGAGCTGACCAAATAGCAATCGGGAGAGGCGTTTTTTCAATCGAGTAAGTCTCATTTTCTTTGCGAATCATGAGCACAATGTCCTTTAAACATCCTTTGGCATTCAAACCTCACTGAAGTTCGTGTGTTTCCTCTTTTTTTCTGATTTATTCACAGAGTTGTTTCATCAAACAAACATCACCAACAAACATATAAAAAATGCATTGCCATCTCTATGACCAAAAGATATCCCGCATCGTAGATTTGTCATGTTGGATTCCCATGGAGGGGCCATGCAGCGCCCGTGCGAACTCGTGCTTTCGGTTCACCTCTTTACTCAACAGGGCTGCGGAAACAGCGAAGCTGGAGAAGGACAGAAACAGATACCTCGAACGCGCGAGAACGGGAGAACGGGGGCAGGTTGAGTTGATGAATTTTCATAACAAAAAAAAAGCTTGCAGGATGGTGACCCCCAGTTATGTTCGTTGGTTTATAACCCCATCTGAATATGATTATAAGATATTATAAGTATAATCACACTATTATAACACTATATGATATTATATATATATATTATAACTAGTAGATTATAACTAGTATTATATATTATAACCCCATATTATTCATTATAACTAGTACAATACACTAATTTTATGTTAGTTATTTGCACGAACTTAGCATAACTTAGACCCATCCCTTGGAGTCCAGAAGTTTTAATTGTTCCTCGGTTGGAGCACTTGTTTGACTAGATCGATATAACCCATGACGGATCCATGGTGCTGGTATATTAATGCTAACATGACTGGGGTATATTGATGGGATCCATGTCAACATATATAGCAGCACCATGGATCCTATGGGTAATTCGATATACCATAAACCCAGCACTTTTCTGTTGGTATAAACAAACTCCAATGTACCCTCTGGTAATTTAACATAGCTATTGAAAATGGCCATTTATAGTGAGTTTTCCCATTAAAAATGATCATTTTCCATAGCTATGTTAGTTTACCAGAGGGTATGTTCGGTGTCTTTTTGGAGAATGCGATGATCCAACTCAGATCCACTCGTCAGTTCATGGTGTGGCACTGAGGCACTGAGTGATCCCATCCTCTCTTTGACGGTCATTCGGTATGATCGTCTGCTTCGCTAAACAAAAATCAAGCCAGGTACCTTTATGGGTATGGATCAAATATATTGAAAAATGGGTATATTTCGGTATATATATATATAATTTTATATAGACAAAAGGTCCTTGTCCTACCGACAAGGACTCACATGTGTGGTGTGCAGGGTTTATCCTGTCTTCATTAAACCCTCGGGGATGGGTCATAACCTACTATTTGGGGGATTAGCCATCCATTAACCAGCTATTTTATCTGGTTGGTGGTATACCTACCCCTCTGAAAAATATAAGTTCGTCAGTTGGGATTATTCTTCCCAACATATGGAAAAATAAAATTCATGTTCCAAACCACCAACCAGTTTTGGTACCTAGATTACCAGGCTTTTGACCCATAACCATTTCTGTCCGTTCCCTGCTCCTCATCGTGTTACGAAAACACCCATGGAAAAAAGATCCTTGAGAAACCACACAAAACAAAGCCCGAACTGATCATAAACCAAGCATAAATGTTCTCAGTGACCATCTGGTGGCAATGGGTTACACCTATTTTGAATAAGGAGATTTGAATGGGACAATACCCTTTGGTAAACTAACATGACTGTGGAAAATCACTATTTTCAATAGGTAAATCAACTATTTCTATGGTCCATGTTCAATAGCTATGTTGGTTTACCAGAGGCTAATTCCATAAAAATGGGATATCGCCACGTTTGATTTCCGGCGGGTATATCATCCAATTTTTTCGATTGCTAAAACCCCAACCTGAATCATTGCGAAATCACCATAGAATCACACGGATGGTGGTGCCCCCCAGTTATAAGTTGCTTTGAGCACAAACTCATCTAATTACTTCGATATATGGGTATGGATCAATACCTATTAATACCATTTTTAGGGGGATGAACATCCATTTACCAGCTATTTTGATGTTCACCAGGGGTACAAGGTTTTGACACACTGCCATATCTACCATAAACCCAACAGTTAACCCACTGAACAGCAAATCCACTGAAAACAAAGAATGGGGCACCACCATCTGAAAAACGTGTTTCCTAGTTATATCAGTGAAAAAATCCCCATTTGTGATGGTCAATTGTCATTAGACATCCTCACTCAGTAGTTTTGAACTTGCCTGGCACCATTTGGTGAACTAAGATGGCTATGGAAAATCCCAAGATTCAATAGGTACATCAACTATTTCTATGGTCCATGTTCAATCGCAAAAAATGGTGGTTTCAACTATAAATAGGGAATCCCCAAATCACCATGGGCGTCAATACTCAAATAGTCTACTTGGTGGCTCATCCCACTTAGCAAGTGGGTTATAACCCAGTTATAAATGGGATAAGTAGGGTTAATCCACTCAAAAAATTGGGGCTATAAGCCACTTACGATTCGTGGGATGAGCCACCAAGTAATTTAGGATGATTTGGGGTTAGCCACATTTTAGGAAACCTCCATATGAAATTACCAGAAGGTAGTTGAGCAAAATTTCTCTTGGGGCACTTCGCACTCATCAGCGTGGCAAAATGGTGGACGATAGAACCTATTGGAAGCCGCGGAGGGATTTTTATGGGGATACAACGGGAATTTCATGGGGATTGATGAACATTTATGAAAATTCATGGGGCTTGATGGGAATCAAATCAACACCAGTGGGATGTAAATGGATATCATGATGATCAGTAAGTGGGCAGTAAGTGGGCTTGCTGAAAAAAGTCTAACCGCAGGGATTCCAGCCATGTTTGAGTACCATAGATAATGTTATACTATATATATATATAATAATACAATGTTATACTATATATATATAATATTATAAATCATATTATAACAAATTATATTATAGTATATTATATTATGTTATATTTTATTTTAATTATACATATATATATATGTATATATATATATATCCACATTGATTGGATTTTTTTAAAAAGGACTACACCAACTAGCCTTTTTTAAGGTTTAACTAGCGGAATTGATCATCAATTTTGATCAGTTGCTGGTGAGTTCCCACACTTTTAAAGGATCTGGACAACTTATAATTTATTTATGATGATTACCAACCGGTAATTTCACATAGCTACAGCAAAACTGCCCATTTATAGATGATTTACCTATTAAACATTGTGATTTTCCATAGCTGTATCAAGTTGAGTCCCAATTCTGGGGTGAATTGAACAACCTTGATGCTGTCATATAGTGCTTTGGTTCTCAGATCAGAAGCATCACCTATTCGATCTATCCAGTACTTGGTGATTCACCCCAGTTGGTAACTGGGATATAACTTGGTATAACCATGTATAACTGTATAACCCCACTTGCAACTGGACTAACTGTACATTCCCTACTTGTAACTGGGCTGATCATGCACAATTCTGGTGAGCCACCAACTGCCTAAGTACCCTCTGCTAATCAAAGGAGGCACTTCTAAATCTACACAAACAATGTCTTCGAATGGGAACATCATCTATAAATGGTTGATGTTTGCCAAGTTTGATTCCCGGAGGGTTTTTTCACTTAGAATCTTCTGGTTGGTGGTATACCTACCCCTCTGAAAAATATGAAAGTCAGTTGGGATTATGAAATTCCCAAGATATGGAAAAATAAAATTCATGTTCCAAACCACCAACCAGATCTTTGTTTCCAGCTGATCATCAACAAAAATCCCATCTGTCAAGGCACCATCCGAGGGAATGTGCAGCCTCGGGACACGTGTGACCCGTGGGACCCGTGGGACCCGTGTGACCCGTGTCTCACTCGATCTGATGCATCTGGCTATTCAAGTGCAAGCTGCTGCCCCGGTAGTAAGTTTGTTAAAACCCATCTAACTATATATAGATATAGCATATATCTACAATAAACAAAAACTTTGATTCACCCATAAACAAACTTAGTATCTATTGGGCACCAACTTGAAAGGCAGGCAAGTCTCTGAAAGAAATCCTAGTTTCCACATATTTCCACGCTCAACATCTGGCGTAGCAAAACTGGCGTGTGATTTTATGACAGTGTTTCGTTTCACCCAGTTATGGCTTATTCTGGGCCAGTCTTTGCAGCTGGTTGGCAAATTGCCATATCTGGCTCAATTATGCCAAAGAATATGCTACATTACCATAGTTCACCATGAAACATGGTGACTTTGGGGTGGTTTCCCTGATACATCAACACATCATTTCTTATGTTGACATCATGAGGTCTCAATGACTCCCAGTTTTCACGTCCCAAAGTGGTGCCCGCCCTTTGGTGCTTTGTCGACATCATAACTTGGGACATAACTTGGGTTACCTTTGAAAGTCCAATGGTTATCATGTTATATCATTTTCCCCATTGAACATATATGAAAATAATTGATCTTCCAGTCTTCCACTATGTGCCATTTTTGGATGACTGTCCCTACATCCTCCCCGCGAAAAAAAAAACTGCCGAAGTCACCGAACGAAGTCGTTCAAGTCCTGCGGCAGCACGATCCAGGTCTAACCAGAAATTTTAGTCCTGTTTAATGGTTAAAACCCTATAAGTAGTGGTAAAATCACCATATATATATATGTATATGTATATGTGGTATGGTTATCATTGTCATGGGTGGCTTATGGCATTGTTTTACTCACATTATAGTTAGAGGACGTGAGAGGGGGTTGTAAACCAGAAAACATCACTGGGGCGGGCCCTAGTAATTTTCTGGAGTTATATACCATCCCCATCCATCCCCTAACCTGAAAATAGCCAACTGATGTGGAACCGAATCTTCCCAACTCATAGCAGGGTCGATGTTATGTGGATGATAACCTGTTGAAAATTCAGAAACTTCCAATTGAACCTCCCGAGGTGATTCAGGTTCCATCGATTCGCAGAAAGTTTCAAGGCTTCCTCAGAATGTTGTTGTTTAAAGTCGAGGGTACTAATACATTTGTACATATATATATATATAAAAATACATACATTCCAAGTCTGAAAATCATCGAGCTCCCATGAGAAATCTCAAAGTGACAACTTTCGACCAAATTGACATCTGCCATGGGTAAATATGGTTTATGGTCATCCATCCCTATTATAATGGGAACCCTGGAAAAAAAACATGATATTTATATATCCCTATGAAAATGGCTTGATAACCATACCCAAGATGGCTATATATCGAATCCATTTTTTGATTTCTGATACTTGCTGAGATATCCCATTAAAAAAAAAAACAGAAAAATCCCAATCAATAACCCCAACGAAATTTCAACATTTTCAGGCTATCCCATGCAAAAAACGTCGTCTTTGAAGGTGGTGCACAGTTTTTTTTCTGTTGCTTTAGACCTTGGTGAATCTTTACCAAAAAGATCTAACTGGTTGGTGGTTTCAACCATCTTGAAAAATACGAAAGTCAATGGGAAGGATTATCCCATATATTATGGAAAATAAAATTCATATTTGAAACCACCAACCAGCTACGTTTTAGCTGGCTATAGTACATTTTACATCATTTTCTGGTTGGTGGTACACCTACCCCTTTGAAAAATATGAAAGTCAGTTGGGATGATTATTCCCAATATATGGAAAAATTTTAAAAATGTTCCAAACCACCAACGAGCTGTATATTTTACCATTGATCTGGATTCATAGGAAAATATGTTTTGATATGGGTGTTTCCATAGTCATGGTGGTACCCCAAAAAGCTGGATGGTTTTTGTTATCCAAAATCCATCTATAAATGGATGATTTGGGGTACCCCTATTTCAGGAAACCTCCATATATCAACCGTACATCCAACAGTTCCCCAAAATTTCAACTATCGAAGCTATTGGCTGGTGAACCTTTCGTTCCAGAGGCCAGTCGAAGGGGTTTCCCATCCATGGCCATTCTCCTTTTTGAAGAGGTCGGCACAAGCAGGTTTGCGGCCAAATCCCGAATGCACCAGTGTGACGCTCTTGTAGTGATGCTCAAAGATGATGCGACGATATAAACCTCGTCGAGGTTCAGAGAATGACAAGAGAATTGGCGGAAGGGAAAATCATTGAACAGGATCCCTGTCTATAGACGAGTAAAACCATGTTTTGCTGCAGACTGTCCCATCAATCGAAGAACAAAAAAACAACTACGCTGGATGGGCTACTGGTGCAATCTTGTGGGCATGGGTTGAAATTTGAGACCGTGGGACTGACTTTTGTTTTGTGTATAATATCGGAGTTATCATTCACTAAACATCGCCGGCTCCTCTATGTTTGCCAGTCCGCGAGCCCAACATACCGACGTAAGAAATTCCCCACTATTTGAGGTCCATCTCTTGGGATTTCTCTTGAGGGATGGGAATAAACTAGTTATCTCAAACTAAAACCTCAACTGGAATTAATAATAATACTTGTCTCTTGTAATAATCCCTCAACTAGTTGAGATAATAATACTTGGGATTTGTCTTGTCTCTTGTGATTGAATAAAAGAAATTGAGTGAATTTCAGGGCTCTGCAATTTTTGCAGAGTTCCATATGTTCCATGATATTGCATGCTCCTGATTTGATTTGGGAATGTTTGGGCATATGGGTCTGTATTGTATCGAAGCTGAAGGTCCACAGACCCACAAATCGAGTGTCCAGTCTCCGTACTCAAGACCAATCCACAGTGTTTCAAGCCAAACCCCATCTTGTCATGACACAAATACCCTGCCCAAAGCTTCATGTGTTTGGCTGGTGCATCAGCATGAATTTCCCCAATCCCGAACAAATCTGCGATCTACGTGCGGTCTTAGCCCGGAAAGGGGGATGATGTGACAACGTGAAAATGTTCCCCTCACTTTCCAGATTTCAAAACCACTATTTTTCCCCCACTCTTGGATAGATGATGCCCCATACTCAGTTGAGTAAGTTTTAGCATCACTACTGTGACTGTACAGGGTGGTGTCCCCATAGTTATAAGTTTGTTTATTAGCCCCATCAAGTATAGTTATATCTCCAATAAATCATAGCTAACCAAGTTAAGCACACTTATTTACCCCATTAACTATAGTTATATCTACCATAAACCATAGTTAACCAAGTTAAGCACACTTATTTACCCCATTAAGTATAGTTATATCTCCAATAAATCAAAGTTAACCTAGTTAAGCACACTTATTTACCCCATTAACTATAGTTATATCTACCATAAACCATAGTTAACCAAGTTAAGCACACTTATTTACCCCATGAACTATAGTTATGACCATAAACAATCCATAAACCATAGTGAATTCAACCACTTCCGTCGTTCCGCCCAAGGACTGCACGGTGGTTGGCTCATCTCGTAATGTGGGACACGCCTTAGGTGAAACATGGTGACACCGCGGGCGTTTGTTTTTGGGACGGGAAGATCACCGGAAAAGCCCGGTAGATCTGAATGGATCTTAATGTCATAGCCAACATAGCCAACATAGCTATTGACAATTGCCATAGTTAAATAGTTGATTTATGTTGATTTACCCATTGCAAATGGTGGATCTTTCCATGTTTTTTTGGGACTGTTTACCAGAGGGTATGTATCATAGAATTGGATGATGGGAAAGCTTACAGGAAAACCCTATATTTGATGGTAAAAACAATGGTTTCCTGTAGATGTTCCCTTAAACCAATCCAGTGATAATGGGAAAAAGCACACCATGGTTTCCGGTGAAGATGTTCCCTTTTTTTGATCCAACGATTGAACATTTCAAAAAACTAATTCAAACCACCAAGAAAAAAATAGATCTTGCTCAGCGATCAAGCTAATCGCATAGCTATGGCAAATCGCCAGTTTTGGTTGCCATCAACTACAATTCGGCTATGGCGCCCAGTTCGCAAACTGCAACAACTATCCACAATGTGGGCCCAAGTGATAAGTTGAGCTATAACCCCCATGAAAACTATCGTTATATCGACCATCAACCCAACAGTTAACCATGGCAAGTTGGAAATGCGTCAACTTAGCTAACTCAATTCCATGAAATCAGCATTAAAGCCCATTAAATCACCATTCAATCAGCAACCATTCCTCCTTTTTCGAGCACCCTGCCGGCCCTAGGGATTTTCTGACGAGATTCCCAACATCGTCACCTCTCAAATGAACGGTCAGCATTTGATCCGACGCGGCGGAGTTGGAATCGGAGGGTGCACTCAATTGCCTTGGCAGGGAGTACACCCATCAATACGGATCCAAGAAAAATGGTGTCCTCTTGAAATCGCCATTTTGGTGCTTGAATGAACACTAGGTTTTATGGTACTTATAACTCCAAGATAGCTAAGTTGGTTTATAGCTCCAATAACTATGGTTTATGGTACTTATAACTATAGTTACTGGGGCTTAAAAACCAACTTAGCTATCGAACGGGAGCCTCACATTGTAGGTTAACTGGGGTGGTATGGATTGGTAGATATATACTCTAATCATCTCTAATCCTCCGGTATTTTTCACAGCCCCTTATTATGGTCTCAGTATGTCCCAGTCATATGTGGGTCCATCCCACCATGGTTCCTGGCGTCTAAGGGCGAATGTTTGTTTGTTTTATCGATGCAACTCACAAGCAACTCTGCGACGCCAAGCTGTTTGGGACCGTTTGGGATGGCGTCAACATCAAGAAGGGCATCGAGAACCAACTACAATTCCCTAAGCATCAAAAATTGAATATCTTCAAAGTTGTTTCATCAAATCCGTCAGGAACAATGGTCAAAATGTGGTCAACATCTGAAATTACTCAACAATTGGTAATTGATGTCCATACCCGGTAGACAAACCATATGTTTGAAGATGAATAATTCCCCATATTTTCGCTGCTTAAGCATGCTTAAGCATGCTTAAGCCACCACTTTTCGAATCCTGAACATACAGGCGGCTCAGTCCAAGGTGCTTCTCGAGCTCCAAGAGACTTTGTCCCAAGTTCGGACGCAAAAAGTGCCTGGATTTCATCCATTATATCCTGGAATTCATTGGGGATATATCACCAACACAATGAATTGTGAGATATGATGGGGGAATATGATGGAATATGGATATATTGTATTTAAGCCATGTATATATATAATTATATATAATGTTGACCCCGGATTAATAACCCCCCCCCCCTATAGGTCAACTAGGTCAACAAGGTCCAGTGAGGAGGTCCAAAAAACCGAACCCCCCAAATAATGTGACCATTCATTCATCCATAAACGATTATTATAAGATTCCTATGGGAAAAGATTGGAAAACCTATGGTAAACAATCAAATTCCTATGGAAACATGAGAAAATTAATGATAAACCATCAGATTCCTATGAGAAAAGGTAAGAAAACCTATGGTACACCATCAGATTCCTATGAGAAAAGATGAGAAAACCTATGATAAACCATCAGATTCCTATGAGAAAAGATGAGAAAACCTATGGTAAACCATCAGATTCCTATGAGAAAAGATGAGAAAACGTATGATAAACCATCAGATTCCTATGAGAAAAGATGAGAAAACCTATGGTAAACCATCAGATTCCTCTGAGAAAAGATGAGAAAACCTATGATAAACCATCAGATTCCTATGAGAAAAGATGAGAAAATCCATGATAAACCATCAGATTCCTATGAGAAAAGATGAGAAAACCTATGATAAACCATCAGATTCCTATGAGAAAAGATGAGAAAACCTATGATAAACCATCAGATTCCTATGAGAAAAGATGAGAAAACCTATGGTAAACCATCAGATTCCTATGAGAAAAGATGAGAAAACCTATGATAAACCATCAGATTCCTATGAGAAAAGATGAGAAAACCCATGATAAACCATCAGATTCCTATGAGAAAAGATGAGAAAACCTATGGTAAACCATCAGATTCCTATGAGAAAAGATGAGAAAATCTTTGATAAACCATCAGATTCCTATAAGAAAAGATGAGAAAATCTATGATAAACCATCAGATTCCTATGAGAAAAGATGAGAAAATCTTTGATAAACCATCAGATTCCTATGAGAAAAGATGAGCAAACCTATGATAAACCATCAGATTCCTATGAGAAAAGATGAGAAAACCTATCGTAAACCATCAGATTCCTATGAGAAAAGATGAGAAAACCTATGGTAAACCATCAGATTCCTATGAGAAAAGATGAGAAAACCTATGATAGACCATCAGATTCCTATGAGAAAAGATGAGAAAACCTATGATAAACCATCAGATTCCTATGAGAAAAGATGAGAAAACCTATCGTAAACCATCAGGTTCCTATGAGAAAAGATGAGAAAACCTATGGTAAACCATCAGATTCCTATGAGAAAAGATGAGAAAATCTATGATAAACCATCAGATTCCGATGAGAAAAGATGAGAAAACCTATGGTATATAAACCATAAGATTCCTATGAGAAAAGATGAGAAAACCTATGGTAAACCATCAGATTCCTATGAGGGAACGTGAGGAAACCACGCAAAAACCATCAGATTCCTATGGGAAAAGGTTCGACAACTAGTGGAAAACTATCAGGTTCCTATGGAGAAAAAAGAAAACCCTTGGTAAACCATAAGGTTCCTATGGAGAAAGAATAGAAATTAAATGGTAAACCATCAGAATCCCATGAGGGAATGACAGAGAGTCAGTCACCTCTTCCCAACATGATGAGCCAACCCACAAAAAACATCTGCAACCAATGTGTTTGGCAATAGCGCGGCTTCGACCTAATGAAAGCACAGCTCTTGCAATGAAAGAGAGTCACCTCTTCCCAACATGATGAGCCAACCCACAAAAAAACCTCTGAAACCAGTGTGTTTGGCAATAGTGCGGCTTCGACCTACTGAAAGCACAGCTCTTGCAATGAAAGAGGGCCACCTCTTCCCAACATGATGAGCCAACCCACAAAAAAACCTCTGAAACCAGTGTGTTTGGCAATAGCGTGGCTTCGACCTAATGAAAGCACAGTTCTTGCAATGAAAGAGAGTCACCTTTTCCCAACATGATGAGCCAACCCACAAAAAAACCTCTGAAACCAGTGTGTTTGGCAATAGCGTGGCTTCGACCTAATGAAAGCACAGTTCTTGCAATGAAAGAGAGTCACCTCTTCCCAACATGATGAGCCAACCCACAAAAAACCTCTGAAACCAGTGTGTTTGGCAAGCGCGGCTTCGACCTAATGAAAGCACAGCTCTTGCAATGAAAGAGAGTCACCTCTTCCCACCGTGAAGTAATTAGAGGCAATGTCCAGAAGCAGGCAAAGGTAGCTAACATAACAGCAAGACATTGGCAGAGAAAGACGCACAACACACAAGCATTCAAGCCAGCTGTGTGCCACCCCCGGGCTGCAAGACGCACCCTCCGGGAATCTAAGCCGCTGTGTGCCACCCCCCGGGCTGCAAGACGCACCCTCCGGGAATCGAACCTGGGTCCATTGGCCCAAAGCCTATTCAATACCACTATGCCATGGGGGCTTGCCCTAAATGGCAAAAAATTGTTTTATAGAACCACTGACTGGGCCTGGAAGGGGTTTGCCGGAATCAAAAACACAATGCGCAACACCCCCCTAACCCCCCAACCAAACCCGCAGCCAAACCCCCAAACAACCCCCCCAATTAATGAAACCCCCCCAAATAACCCTCCCCAACCCTTTGGTAGTCGCCCCCAGCTCACGAAAGGCTCTTGCAACGATAAAAAGTCACCTTTTCCCAGCATCATGAGCCAAAAAACCTCTGAAACCAGTGTGTTTGGCAATAGCGCGGCTTCGACCTAATGAAAGCACAGCTCTTGCAATGAAAGAGAGTCACCTCTTCCCAACATGATGAGCCAACCCACAAAAAACCTCTGAAACCACTGTGTTTGGCAATAGCGCGGCTTCGACGTACTGAAAGCACAGCTCTTGCAATGACAGAGGGCCACCTCTTCCCAACATGATGAGCCAACCCACAAAAAACTTCTGAAACCAGTGTGTTTGGCAATAGTGCGGTTTCGACCTACTGAAAGAACAGCCCTTGCACTGATAGAGGGTGCCTTCTATCAAATTACGTCGTCGTTGTAGTAGTTGTAGTTGTAGTTGTAGCTATAGTTGTAGTAGTAGTAGTAGTAGTAGTAGTAGCAGCAGTAGCAGTAGTAGTAGTAGCGGTAGTAGTAGTAGTAGTTGTTGTAGTACTTTGTAATACTTTGTAGTATTAGTAGTATTAGTAGTTTTAATAGTATTAGTAGTATGAGTAGTATGAGTAGTATTAGTAGTATTAGTTGTAGTAGAAGAGGAAGAAGTAGCAGTAGTAGCAGTAGTAGCAGTAGTAGCAGAAGCAGTAGCAGCAGCAGTAGTGATAGTGGTAGTAGTAGCAGTAGTAGTAGTAGCAGTAGTATTAGCAGTAGTATTAGCAGCAGTAGTAGTAGCAGTAGTAAAAAGTGCCACATTGCAAAAACATATTTGCGAGGTGGATGAGGAAAGATCAGGCAATGTTGATATAGTTGTTGAACTAATTCATTGCTTAATTGATTGCAGTCTGAAGCACGCATATAAAAAATTCATCGCGGCTGGCTGGGGTTTACTAATTGGGGGGGGCGTCCTTTTATTTGTGGGGGGGACACCGCTCAAGGGGGGTAGCCTTTCTGAGCTCCCAAAAACAGCATTTTTTAATTAAATTTTAATTAGAAATCGATCATTTGGGGGATGCGTTTTTTTTTCCAGTTTTGGCGTCTTGAAAGCCACATTGCAAAAATATATTTGCGAGGTGGATGAGGAAAGATCAGGCAATGTTGATGTAGTTGTTGAATCAATTCATTGCTTAATTGATTGCAATCTGAAGCACGCATATAAAAAAGTCATCGCGGCTGGCTGGGGTTTACTAATTGGGGGGGGCGTCCTTTTATTTGTGGGGGGGACACCGCTCAAGGGGGGTAGCCTTTCTGAGCTCCCAGAAACAGAATTTTTTAATTAGATTTTAATTAGAAATCGATCATTTGGGGGATGCATTTTTTTTTCCAGTTTTGGCGTCTTGAAACTGGCACATTGCAAAAGTATATTATACTTGCGAGGTGGATGAGGAAAGATCAGGCAATGTTGATATAGTTGTTGAACTAATTCATTGCTTAATTGATTGCAGTCTGAAGCACGCATATAAAAAACTCATCGCGGCTGGCTGGGGTTTACTAATTGGGGGGGGGCGTCCTTTTATTTGTGGGGACACCGCTCAAGGGGGGTAGCCTTTCTGAGCTCCCAAAAACAGCATTTTTTAATTAGATTTTAATTAGAAATCGATCATTTGGGGGATGCGTTTTTTTTTTCCAGCTTTGGCGTCTTGAAACTGGCACATTGCAAAAGTATATTATACTTGCGAGGTGGATGAGGAAAGATCAGGCAATGTTGATATAGTTGTTGAACTAATTCATTGCTTAATTGATTGCAGTCTGAAGCACGCATATAAAAAAATTCATCGCGGCTGGCTGGGGTTTACTAATTGCGGGGGGCGTCCTTTTATTTGTGGGGGGGACACCGCTCAAGGGGGGTAGCCTTTCTGAGCTCCCAAAAACAGCATTTTTTAATCCTTTTTAATTAGAAATCGATCATTTGGGGGATGCGTTTTTTTTTCCAGTTTTGGCGTCTTGAAACTGCCACATTGCAAGCGTATATTAAACTTGCGAGGTGGATGAGGAAAGATCAGGCAATGTTGATGTAGTTGTTGAATAATTAATTGCCCAATTGATGGCAACTTCACAAAAAACATCTGAAACCAGTCTGTTTGGCAATAGTGCGGCTTCGACCTACGGAAAGCACAACTCTTGCAATGAAAGAAAGCCACTGGAAGTAATTAGAGGCAATGTCCAGAAGCAGGCAAACGTAGCTAACATAACAGCAAGACATTGGCAGAGAAAGGCGCACAACACACAAGCATTCAAGCCAGCTGTGTGCCACCCCCGGGCTGCAAGACGCACCCTCCGGGAATCGAACCTGGGTCCATTGGCCCAAAGCCTATTCAATACCACTATGCCACGGGGGCTTGCCCTAAATGGCAAAAAATGGCTTTATAGAACCACTGACTGGGCCTGGAAGGGGTTTGCCGGAATCAAAAACACAATGCGCAACACCCCCCTAACCCCCCAACCAAACCCGCAGCCAAACCCCCAAACAACCCCCCCAATTAATAAAACCCCCCCAAATAACCCTCCCCAACCCTTTGGTAGTCGCCTCCAGCTCACGAAAGGCTCTTGCAACGATAAAAAGTCACCTTTTCCCATCATCATGAGCCAAAAAACCTCTGAAACCAGTGTGTTTGGCAATAGCGCGGCTTCGACCTAATGAAAGCACAGCTCTTGCAATGAAAGAGAGTCACCTCTTCCCAACATGATGAGCCAACCCACAAAAAACCTCTGAAACCAGTGTGTTTGGCAATAGCGCGGCTTCGACCTAATGAAAGCACAGCTCTTGCAATGAAAGAGAGTCATCTCTTCCCAACATGATGAGCCAACCCACAAAAAACGTCTGAAACCAGTGTGTTTGGCAATAGTGCGGCTTCGACCCCCTGAAAGCACAGCCCTTGCACTGATAGAGGGTGCCTTCAAGATGCCCTCTTAATTTTGGTTGTGGCTTATCCGGATCCACTTGTATATGTGCATATCAAATTACGTAGTCGTCGTAGTAGTAGTAGTAGCCGTAGTAGCAGTAGTCAAAAAAGTGCCACGTTGCAAGAGCATATTTGCGAGGTGGATGAGGAAAGATCAGATTCCTATGAGAAAAGATAAGCAAACCTATGGTAAACCATCAGATTCCTATGAGGGAAGATTCGAACATGAATGGTAAACCATGAGATTCCTATGAGAAAAGATCAGAAAACCTATGGTAAACCATCAAATTCTTATGAGAAAAGATCAGAAAACCTCTGGTAAACCATCAAATTCCTTTGAGGGAAGATGAGGAAACCACGTAGAAACCATCAAATTCCTATGAGGAAAGATTCGAAAATGAATGGTAAACCATGAGATTCCTATGAGAAAAGATCAGAAAACGTATGGTAAACAATCAAATTCCTATGAGGGAAGATGAGGAAACCACGTAGAAACCATCAAATTCCTATGAGGAAACATTCGAAAATGAATGGTAAACCATGAGATTCCTATGAGAAAAGATCAGAAAACGTATGGTAAACAATCAAATTCCTATGAGGGAAGATGAGGAAACCACGTAGAAGCCATCAAATTCCTATGACGGAAGATTCGAAAATGAATGGTAAACCATGAGATTCCTATGAGAAAAGATCAGAAAACCTATGGTAAACCATCAAATTCCAATGAGAAAAGATCAGAAAACCTCTGGTAAACCATCAAATTCCTTCGAGGGAAGATGAGGAAACCACGTAGAAACCATCAAATTCCTATGAGGGAAGATTCGAAAATCCATGGTAAACCATGAGATTCCTATGAGAAAAGATCAGAAAACGTATGGTAAACAATCAAATTCCTATGAGGGAAGATGAGGAAACCACGTAGAAACCATCAAATTCCTATGAGGAAACATTCGAAAATGAATGGTAAACCATGAGATTCCTATGAGAAAAGATCAGAAAACGTATGGTAAACCATCAAATTCCTATTGAGGGAAGATGAGGAAACCACGTAGAAGCCATCAAATTCCTATGAGGGAAGATTCGAAAATGAATGGTAAACCATGAGATTCATATGAGAAAAGATAAGAAAACCTATGGTAAACCATCAAATTCCAATGAGACACGATCAGAAAACCTTTGGTAAACCATCAAATTCCTTCGAGGGAAGATGAGGAAACCACGTAGAAACCATCAAATTCCTATGAGGGAAGATTCGAAAATCCATGGTAAACCATCAGATTCCAGTGAGAAAAGATAAGAATACCTATGGTAAACCAAAATAGGAAGTAACCCTGGAAATTGTAATCCGAATTAAAAAGTAAAAGGGAGTAATAGCAAATTAGTCCACCAAAAATTTGGGGATCCCGGAGGGGTATGATTAATTCGGGGGTAGTGTTCCATTATTAGGGGGGGAAATCAGCACGTAGAGGACTTTAGTATTGCCCAAAAATTTCCGGTGAAAAGGGGTATGATTAATTTGGGGGTTTTATTAATCCTAACCCTACATTATATATATTCCCATTGCTGTGACAATTGAGATTCAAACAACACGACTACATTGTGATTGAAATCAGCTGTGGAGACTTCATTTCATGGGAATCTGTAACCCTTTTACATGATATTTGAGTCTGAAAATGGTTTGATGTATCATGATGTATCCGCAATTTATGGCCATTTGGATGGTTGGATGGTTTATAAGCCCACTTTCAAAGTGGGATATATAGATATATATCATCAACCCAACAGCCCAACAGATCACCCACTGAACTAAACCAACTTAGCTTAATTTATAAAAAATGTTCTGTTTAAGGTCCCATGTTCCATCCTTAACCCCCCATTGACCATTGTTGATTAATTAAGCCCCTTAATTAGATATGATTCACCACAGTGCACATATATCTACTATAATCATCCTACAATGTGGGGCCCGCGAGTTATGGTTGTTGGTTTAGTTGCACCCCTCTAACTATAGTTATAGCTACTAATTCGCTACTACAAACCAAAGAATTATATAACCTGTTGTGATTGAACAGATCTATGAAACATCACCATGTTTCATACTGGTTGGTGGTATACCTACCCCTCTGAAAAATATGAAAGTCAGTTGGGATGATTATTCCCAATATATGGAAAAATGAAAAATGTTCCAAACCACCAACCAGCTATGAAACATCACCATGTTTCATAAGTAAAATTGCAAAATCATCGAACTAAATGGGCCATTTTCCTTCCTTCTCCAGGTGACTCTGGGACCCTGGAGCCCGGTTAGACCCAGCTGCTGCATCACTTGCCGGTGCCGAAACGCAGGGACACCGGTGCAGTGTTGGTGGTACCAGTTGGCATCCTGTGGTGCTGGCGGTGATCAACGTTTCTTGGGGAAAGCACATGTGAATACTGGTATGAAATCCGAAGAACATGACGCTCGTAGTGGAAATGGCTGTGTCAAGGTTGCATGTTACAACGTTGACTGGAACGATCCCAGACATAAGTAGTTGAAAACATGATAAATTGATATAAATTGAACATGATAAATTCAACCGGACTTTCTTATGAAACAAACATCCCTACATGGGATCCTTTGGTTTGATTCTTGGAAAAAATCAGCCAGCAAGCTGGCCAGGTAAGAATATCACATGGCAACACCATCTTTTCTGGATGCCAAAAAAACAATGTATTGAAAGTTAAACCATGTTAAACCTAAACCCCATACAAAAACTGGTGAATTCCTCCTTCCAAACCATCACCAGTACCCTGAGAATGGAATCGCACCCTCTTTGACCCGGCCAAAGGCGGTTCCTTGATGATTGGTGGACATGACGCTGGTATCTCGGTGACGGTGCGATCAAAAGACACTGTCACATCTGTCTCAACAGGAAGCAAACCCATTGTCTCTTGGCGAATTGCTTAGATATCATGCAACCATATGCAACCAATGCTAATCATTTTCGGTGGCTAGTTCTTTTGTTGATCTATTGTATCCTATGTGCGAACTCACACCCACACCTACACCTACATCTACACCTACAAATATTAAACTACATCCAGGGCTCACCGCTGCATCAGGCAACAGAAGCGGGGCATCTATGAGTGCTGCTCCAACTTTTTTCAGGTTTACTCAGACGTGGCGCGGCTAGTGGTTTCTCAGGGATTGGCTGAGAAATGTCCTTTTTGTTTTTTTCACATCGCCCAACTATTGAGGATATTTCATGCACAACACATACCTTCTGGTAAATTAACATAACTATGGAAAATCATGGAACATCACCATTTTTAATGGGAAAATCCACTATTTCTATGGCCATGTTCAATAGTTGTTTGTATGTTTACCAGAGGGTACTTTTGAGAAAGTGATGTTCAAAAGCTCCAAAAAACCAACCACCTTCCAACCGAAACTCACCTCCCCTGACATGATGGAAAAAAAAACACCCAAAAAAATCCAGGTGCTGTCTGCAACAGCAGCAGTGCAGATTGGTTGTTGTTTCGCCATCTCCAATGAATTGTATCCTCTATATAATGGTAATAATGGTAATATATATACATATATATATGTATGTATACATCCATATAATTGTATCCTGACACTGCAATGTCGCCTGCATGCATGCTCCACCCAAAAACTCGGTACTGTGACCAAGCAGGTGAAAACTTGTGAGACATGCAAAACAAATCAAAAAGGGGGCAAGGCTAGAAACCCTACAACTCGACTTCGTTTACTTCAATCATGTGATTGGCTACTAAAAGGAGGAGGATTTACCTAACCACGCCGCAAATGATAATCTGATTGCACCTGTCCTTCCATCCCGTTGTAAGCATCAAACGGTGCTGCTAATTTGTGCAGCACTGAATCCAATCCCTCAGGCAAGGGCTCATCTCCAGAGACTGGTGCTTCAACGTAGTGGTCAAGATGTGACTGCGCAATCACCATTGATAGATTTGTAGGGTAAATTTTACCCTTGGCGGTCTTCCATGTTTGACCTTCTTTTCCTCCAAGTACTTCTGTGGCTCGCCACTTTTTATTGTAAGTGGCGAAAATGCGGTGTGCAAAGCTAGCCAAGCGACCCACCATCATTGTAGTCGGCTTTGCAAACTTCTGCCCCAGAGGACCCTGGAGGAAGGTCACGGTCTGAATTTGCGCGTCCAAGAGCAACCATCGCATGAAGGCAGATTGCCAGATGCACCATTGTCTGGTGTCTTCTTGATTGCCTTTCGGGTGCTCAAGACTGATCGAACCACCAAAGATAAAGATTGTCACCAACAATCGGAGTGCCACCAGCATCAGGGCTGTACCAATCCTGATATATATATATATAATGGTAATAACGTTGCGTGGTGTGCAGCTTTGACAGCTATGATATGCTATCACCCGCACATACTCAAACATTGGCATGGGAAACCCCTACTAGAATACTGGAAAATCATGTGTTTATTGTCCATGTAAGGTATTATTTTAGACAATATAATACCCTGACATGGAAACTCCAGTATTCAAACATAATATAATAACCCTGACAATTGGGAATCATTATATATAATGGGTATATGAAAAACCTTATGGCGGGACATTTTCCCATCCCCAAACCTATGGCAAACATGCTGAAAATCACCGGATTTGATCTGCGAATGGTGGCTATGGATGGCTATGGATCTATGTCCAAACCCAAAAAAAATTGGGAGATATCAAGAAACTATACAAGTCAAGATATTTCTGGATTTATCCATAGTTTATCGTATCCATATATTTTTGGAAGGATATACGGATAGATTCTACAATCATGTGGTGTTCCAGAGTATTCCGATACCCATTATTCGATTAGTTATTAAGTTTTCCATAGTAATCATGGGTCTTAGGTATTCTTATACTAACCTCCTCCTTTAAAAAATGCCGAGAAGTAATTATTTTGCCACTATTCATTCTAGTACGATGATTACCCTTGTATCTTGTTGGGGATTGCTATAAGTATAATATATATATAACATAACCATATATAACCATATATATAATATGTATATACATAACTTCTATGAACCATCACTTCGATGAACCATAGTATCTTGTTCGGGATTGCTATAAATATAAATATATATATATCATAAACATATATAACCATATATATACATACATAACTTTTATGAACCATAGTAAACCTAGAGATATAAACCAACATAGCAATTTCATAACCAGGGGCCTTTTTTTTTCGTAACCTGGGTCCCATGGGTGACACCGAAGCACGTAGAGGGGAGTGCCGGGACTCAATGTGCCAGGAACACCAACTCCTGACGGTTTCAACTGGGCAATGTTTTCGTGTTGTGCCTTAGCCGGTTGAAACATTGATAAAACTATATATATATACACATATATGATGTATGCTATGTACTGTATATATATGTATGATGTATAAATATATATATATATATGTGATGTATATATGTAACAACACATAGCGACACGCATACATATAGATATGTAGCTATGTTTTGAGTACATATGTGTATATTTATGTGTCTGTATATATATATATATTTATATTTATATGTGATTGTGTGCGTGAACCCATTCATTGCAGTACTAGACTACCCTTCACCATCCTTCACCAAACGAAATAACAGTTGACCCCTTTCGGGTTTCAAGATGTTTCAAGGTCATTCGGTCATTTACCGAAGGGACAGTGGTGACAGTGCCCGAGGAATTGATTGCATCAACTGCCAGTGGGGAATGGTTCAAATTAAAACCGAACTCAAAGATCTGGGTCTTTGGGACTTTTTTTTGCAGCAATTGCCACAAAAGCCTACAATGTAGCCCCCCACAGTGATGTGAATGTTGGTTTATAAGCCCCAGTAACTATAGTTATAAGTACCATAAACCATAGTTATTGGAGTTATAAACCAACTTAGCTATCGAACGGGGGCCTCACATTGTAGAATGTCATGATGCTTTACAGTAGGTCATGCCAATGTGGATTCAACAGATAAATTAGAACTGATCCATTCTGAAAAGGCTACCCAACTTGACCCACTTCAGCTCGGTTTCACTTTGTCGTCACTTTGTCTACCAAGGATCAATTCATGTTGTCTGACTACTGGCCGCCTAAGAATCAGGACTTGGTCATATTTTTTCGTCATTGATCAATCTGGCGAGTTGGCTTCGTTGGTCATTGCAGACCAAATGTTGGACCACATATTGCCAGTCTGGGTGGATGTGTCCAGGCATTAAATTCATGAGTTTTCCTGACATGCAAATGTTTATTGCTCAGTGTTTGGGTTTGAACATTGAAGCGGATTGCCACCCGTTGACCCACCATATAGCATCTCTCCTTCAAGAAAAAGTCGTTTTGGCATCAACAACATTCCTGCGAAACGGCACAATCTATGCAGGTGGGCTAGCTTCCCCTGAAACAGGATCATCAAACATCTTTCAAAGCGCAGATCTACGATGATTTATGAGAGTTTCTTTTTTGGGTCCATTTTTTGGTCCCAATGATTTCACTTCAGGTAAAATCTACAGACTCATGGCCTGTAATCCCACGTTTGTTGTATCCACTGCTGTTGGACAGTCACATCTTCCTGCTGGTTGAATCATAGTGTTCCCTATGGATCCCTATGGATCCAAATACCTTCTCAGGAAACATTTGGGGGAATGTCAACCCCGGATGAGACTAAACCATGGTTATTAATTAGGGGGGTACTCCTCCAACAGTCATTTCATATGATACTTAAATGGTACCCTCCCAATTAAACAATCTAGGGGTGTATTAATCCAGGGTTGACATTAATTACCGTGCTTCTGCAGGAATTAGGCTCTAAAAGCAGTTCCACCCTGTCACCGAAACTGCCAACATCAACACTACAATACAAGGTGCTGCCCCAGTGATAAGCGAGTTTGGAACCACAATTAACAACTACCCTCTGGTAATTTAACATGGCTATGGAAAATCACCATTTTTGATGGGAACATCCACTATAAATGGCCATTTCCAATAGCTATGTCAGTTTACCAGAGGGTATTTACCGTGAACCCGCATAATGCTAATTCAACATCAACTTAGCCAACCATGAAACACCAGATTGCATCCTGTGCATTTTAGTGCGTGGCCCTGGGTCCTACCCTGCACGCGGTCTTTCAGCGGGTAAAGGACCCTCCAGCACTTGCACAAGGTAGGCATAGCACAGTTGGTTTACAACTAGGTGATTTCTATGGTTCATGGTAGCTATAACTATGGGTTTATAAACCAACAAACAGAACAGGTCCAACATTGTAGGTTTCGATGATTTTGAGATGCGGGCACATACAATACATATACAATACATGCATGGTATATGAGCAAGTTGCTTGCATTCCCAGACTGGAACATGAACCATCTTGATGAGGACCACTGAGGCCGCCTACTCACCAGCCATTGTGCTGGGGTATTTACCAACATTTGGCTGTTTTTTTTAACATACAGGTAGCTATAGCATGCTATAGCAAAAACCATAAATAGAAAAAAACATCAAAGTCTCTACCTTTTTTGGGGACTCCTATGTATAAACATTCCATGCATACCTGGAATTCACATGGAAATTCACGCAAGAGTTGTCCACTTGATTCCAGCCATCGCCGCTGCACGGTCCTACTTGGCTCTGGTATCCTTTCGGATTCCTTGGAGCATTGGACTTCTTGAATCATGACCCAAAATGGCTGATTTACAGTCCCAAAACTAATGACCCTGCCATGAGTCCGGAGAAAATGTTGTTACCTCGGGCGACTCTAGACTGGTTGGTGGTTGAGCTCAAGTGAGCCCTACCCCTCTGAAAAATGATGGAGTGAAAGTCAGTTGGGATTATGACATTCCCAACTGAATGGAAACATAAAATTCATGTTCCAAACCACCAACCAGTAAAAGTAGTGATTCTCAAGGTCTTACGATGTCGCCCGCCCCCCAAACGCTATGTTGGTTGCTTGATAAACCCCATTGACTATAGTTGTATTCTCCATAGACTCAACAGCTCAGGAAGCAATGAACCAACTTACCAACTTAACCTTCGTTTGAGGGCCCCACTTTGTATGTTATCCTTTGGTTGTTTAACATAGCTATATGGACATGTACCATTTATGTATGATGTGTGTATATATATATCGATTTACATATGATGATTTACCTATTAAAAATGGTGATTTCCAAAGCAAGGCGCTAAACTACCAAGGGTAGTTGAGGGGGACAGTAATAAACATTCACCAGTCAGTCTGAACTTCAATCCCCACTGAGCCTGCAGGTATATGCAGGTATAAGATGGTATAAGGTGGTGCCCCAATAGCTAAGTTGATTTATTTCAGGGGGTCATGTGTTGGTTTAATGCTAGATATATCTAGACACTATCTATAGATAATATATCAATACATATCAATTTCATATCAATACCTAGCTGGGACTCTAAGGTAACAAACATAACCATACTTCTAACCTGCGGGTGCACCACCATGTAGATATCCCACGAAAAATGGGGTCGTTGCAACCTGTCGATTCCTCCGAGTTGCAGAATCGGGTCTGGGAAGGTTACTGAAGATACTCCACAGAGAAGAGCAAACACGATCACCTCCGGTGAAAGCTAATTGTGAAGAGCCCCACGGAACTTCAAACTCAATGGATTGGTTTAAGGGAAAAATTACAGGAAAACCCCATATTTAATGGGAAAATCTATGGTTTCCGGTTAAAATTTTCCCAACAAAACCAATCCATTCACAAACCAAAAGTCTTCGTCACTCGCTAATCGTGTTGTTTTTCTTTTTTAAATATAGAGTCAACATGGCAAGAAGTGTTCAATGCATAATGTCATAATGGCGCTCATCAACTGCCCAACAGGCAGGATTTTCCAGAAATGGGCATGAAAATCAACAGAAACTGGAATACCCTCTGGTAAATATTCACAGTTTGCTATTGAAAATGGCCCAGTCGATATAGTGGATGTTCCCATGAAACATGGTGAATTTCCATTAAACATGTTTTGTTTTCCATATAAATCACGATTTTCCCATGGTTTTCCATCGTTTTTTGGGGCTGTTTACCAGGCCGGGTAATGACCCAATCATGAGTGGTTGATGGTTTCAATCCTCCCGAAAAGTTTCCGTCGAGGATCATCCTCCCATTCCGTTGTGGTCAGGTAACGCGTTACAACGAAACCACACGACGCACATCAAAGTTGATGAAGAATGTAAGGTAGCTTCAGTAGCTTCCTGTTTGAAAGAATAGCTACTTGCTTAAAGATTGCTTAGCGCCATGATAAACCATGATAAAGCCTGATGAAACTAAGAATTCCTGGAATGAGATGATCACAGTGATCCCGGTCCCTGAAACCAAACCAACAATGATACATACAACCATCCAACGATGCCTGTTGGATGCTGAAATTCCCTCCAAGGAGAACGTTGTGTGTCAACAACGATTTTTGTGCATTTCGAAAAAAAACACTTGTTATGAGGTAAGTAATTACTGTAATACTGGGATATTAATATAATTACCGAGTAAATTACCCAGTACTATAACACTAATATTAATATTACTCATTGAGGTAATAGACTGGAATATGTTTAAATTCAGCCAAGGTTTACATGTCATGAACATAAAAGTCTTGCTGAGAGTAATGATCTGTGGTAAACATTCAATAATTTCAATATGAAGCCATATATTAAAGCCATATAAAGCCACTATTTTCCGATGATTGTCACGAGCCACTGCGCATCTTTCATTGTTTTCATTTGCGTGAAAGAGCCACTGGGTCTCTTTGTCGATGGGTTTGCAGTTCAGTGGTGGCTCGCTATGACAATGGGGTCTACCTCAAATTTCATGCAAAAAATGCGGTTTTATACTTTACATTGGATTCATGGATAATTATACAATGTCAACCCCAGATTAATAAACCATGGTTATTAATTAGGGGGTACTCCTCCAATAGTCATAATCTGATACTTAAAGGGTACCCTCCCAATTATATAAACAGCCGTTTGGGGTTTATAAATCCAGGGTGGACATGATCCAAAGGTTGAACAAACCTGCATGTGTTCATGTCTTGCCTGCCATAGGCTGCACTTGTGAACGGTGAGAAACTATGCAAGACAGGATTGAAATTGGAAGAAACTGAACCTGTAAAGAAGTCAATGTACCAAAGATTTTGGGCCTACCGTCTAAATATCATGTACACGACGAAACGTAGATATGTGTCAATGACTGACAAATCAGCATGATGGATCTGGCTCAAATGCCCCGAACGTAATATAGCATATATAACGTAATTACAGAATTCAGTCCTGCAAATCATCACAAAAATCATCAGAAATCCCAATTGTCACCTGAGAAATTTGGAAATAATGATTGCCAATGCGGCCATTCCATTCCTCCAGCTCCAGCTCCTCAGCAATCAGCTGGGGCTTAGACATCTGATAGGTAACTTGGTAGACATCGCCAGGCCAACGATTCGACATGATTTGACATCTGGTGAATACATATACAGTACCCTCTGGTAAACATACAAAAAGCTATGGAAAATCACTATTTTTGAATGGATAAATCCACTATAAATGGTCATTTCCAATAGCTATGTTAGTTTACCAGAGGGTATATATATATAATACATGTGTATATATACTGTATACGTGACGATGCTTTTCCTAAAACCAACAAACACATCTATGGGAATCATTCTTGCATTGTCAACATAATAGTGGCTATGATTACGATGATATGACCAACGTCTGCCAGTGACAGTCTGCCAAGTAGTAGGGAAAATTTACGGAGACTGGAAAAGGTTCACCAAAATCTGTTGCATTGGCAGCGCACAAAAGAAAAAACGTCCTCCTTTTGAAGCGATCGGGTAACTGACGTCATCAGTGTTTTGGCAATTCACCAGGTTGTATCAGACCTGATCGAAAATAGTTCAGATCTGACATAATCCCTCTCACTGCTCAATTACTGTAGCCTTAAATTCAACATAAAGACATCGCCTTTGGCCGTAGTCGTGTAACCAATGCATCTAGCCACTCATTTTTTATTGGGTACTGGTCTCTACATGCTGGTATCTATCCACACTGATGTGAAATTCGGGTATCAAATTGCATTCGCAAAAAACAAAATGACGAAGGATCCTTGCTGTGCAGTGATATCTTGTATTTTCAGGAACAAAACATGCAAACATAGCAGTTTGTTTATATCAACATGTTCCACTATTTTACTGGAACGCGCTATTCAATCAACCACAATGTGAAAATCTCTGGAGGCCCTCCCGACATTTTGACGCGGCGTTTCCTTCGGACATGGGTTCCGCGATCGGGGCAAATCGCTTCCAACCAACGTCGAGAGCGATGGCAACCCATAAGAGTCTACACCTCGGCACGGACCATGGCGAATCGTTGATACCGTACAAGAGATGACTTTTAGCTACAAAATACATAGTATCATACAATGTGGGCCCCCCCAGTGATGTTTGTTGGTTTATAAGCCCCAGTAACTATAGTTATAAGTACCATAAGCCATAGTTATTGGAGTTATAAACCTACTTAGCTATCTTGCGGGCCTCACATTGTAGTATTATAATATAGATATTACATTATAGACGCAGACACACATAGTGTACCCACAAAGGGATCCCTGGATTTTTTTTACTGCATTTCAGGTTCACATTTTTAAAGCAGTACTCATCCAGTCGGTGGTCGTCATAGATCGGCACCGCAGTCCACATGAACCGGAGGTTGGCATTCTCGAGCTGCCACCCACGGTGTCAAAATGATGTTCGATTTTGATGATTCCCAGTTAATCAATGGATGTTCATCAGGACCAGGATACCCTCTGGTAAACGTTTACATAACTATGGAAAATCACATTTGTTTAAATCGGTAGATCAACTATTTCTATGGCAATTTTCAATAGCAAACTGTTAATTTACCAGAGGGTAGATACTTCTGAAGCATCAACGGATTGGTGGATTGGTTTGAGGAAAAACATCTAAGGGAAATCGGTGTGTTTTCCTATCAAAGATACGCTGGAAATTCATGTGGCCTTCATCCAGTTCTGGGGCCCGCACCGCTGTCAGTCCCGAAAAAATATGTTGAGTTCTCCTCTGCTACAGTTATGGCCATGGCTATCAGTTATAACTGGTTATTTCTATGGGATTATATATTCTATAAATGGGGTTATAAGTACTTATAACTGGTAAAGGGCCATAACTGTATGATGTCTGAGAAAAAACCGCCAACAGCCACATCTTCTGGAAAAGGCCTTTTTCAAACATTCCTCCGTCACGTTTTTTGGTGCAGTTCCAGCCATAAGTGGATATACAATCATATATAAACATATATATATATAAGAGTTATATCCCAACTTTTCCCAACTTATGTAATTTTTGACGATGGCATTACCTTTTTCATAACCCCAAGTGCACCCCCAACATGAATAAATACCCTGAGATTGGGTATTTTCACTTTTAGGCCCCCTGTGGGGGGAGTACTGTATTCAAAATTCGGGAGATGGGATTGTAGCAGAACCACAACACACACAATCAGCTTATCGAAAGTTGCAACTCAAAGTTCTACTATAGGACTTTTCATGCAGTCAGTAAACGGTGCGTAACTGGAGAGTATAGGAACATCGCGTTCCATTGTACAAAATATGATACGGAGCTTACACCTGATCACTACATGTGTTGCCCCCCAGTCATCCGTTTGTTTATTATAATAACGCCTAACGATGCCTAACACCCTCTGACTCTAATGATAAGATATAACTTCCCCAACCATCCAACAGTTGGCCGGCTATGGTTGCCCCCCTACCTATCACAAATTACCATAAAATTCATAACTAATAACCTTGAGTTAGTGGCTTAGGATGTGGAGAGTTATCCACTATGGTTGCCCACTAGGATTATTTATCAAATCCATTCAAATCCTAGTCCTAGTGGATAACTCTCCACATATTCTGTTGAAATCCACATGTTTATTGGTCAACTGGGCCCAAGGCCCAGTTGAATTTCACAACTGATCCCCCGCAAGTCTCTGCAAACAGGAAACTGTCAGGCTTCGACCTGAGAAAAGGCCGATGAAATCGTGGGCTAGTTTCAGAGAACATCTCAAAAACATCATGGGATGTTATATCAATGGGAATTCCAGGATCCTAAAATGGAGGTACTGTACCATAGAAGGTCATATTTTCTAGGGATATTCCCTTACATAGGCCTTACATAGGCCTTATATATATAGTAGATTATAGTAGGTACCTCCATTTTAGAATCCTGAAATGGCCATTGACTATACAGTAACAGCAAATGGCACTTCTTCACTGGTCATACACCTAGATCATCAGTGTTTATATGTGTTTATGGGATCACCTTGCTGACATTTGTCATGGTTTTCCAGTCAGACGAACCTGCCCAGAGTATCAGAATTAGGCACAAAAAATCACCACGCAGAGCAACAAAAAAAAAGTTACCCGGCCTGGTAAACATACAAAAAGCGAACTGGAAAATCACTATTTGAATAGGTAAATCACCTATTTCAATGGTCCATTTTCCAAAGCGATCTTAGTTTACCAGAGGGTACAGTTATAAATATATACCTTAATCCCAAATATGATGATCGCAGTAGTTGCTCTCAAGTCTCTCAAGAGTTTCAATACCTGTGCAAAGCTCTACAAGAAGCGTCTACGAGGTCGTTTGATTTCTCCCCCCAAAATACAGCTACCCATCGGTGGGATTAAGTCTTACTTGGGTATATATATATATATATTAATATGAATATATACATATATATATATGCTTGGAACCAATTTCTTTGATTGTAGCAATTTCAATGGTTGTGATTCAACCTCATGTTCGTTGGTCACATGCTTGGGAAACTCCTTTAAGCTATACATTTCATATAGTGAATATACGGATCCAACCATAGCTCCGAATCGCTCCCTACCAACGGATAGTGCTTTCAGATCCAAGAGACTGATTGACGCCAGCCTCCCACGCTCATGCCGACAGATAAACTTTTATATCATCATCCTCCATGGTCTAACTTGCATCCTTGTATACTGGTTGAGTCTAATTACACATAGTCGTCTCATACCCATACCCATAGGATCCATGGTGCTGGTATATATGCTGACATTGGGGTATATTGATGGGATCCATGTCACCATATATAGCAGCACCATGGATCCTATGGGATATTATTTGTTGCCTGCAGAATTTGCTTGGTCAAGGGGCGGCATCCTGAGATTTTTGTTGGCTGGTTATACTTGGCCCAGCCTTGCTGCGCTTAAACGACACCAGGAATTTCCAGAACTCCGATCTATTGTCACAGTTATAGCCATTTACCAGTTATAACTGGTTATAAATGGGATTATACATTCTATAAATGGGGTTATAAGTACTTAGAACTGATAAATGACCATAACTGCATGATCACGCAACCGGTTAGCGAAATCAGAGGGGTCAACGAGTGTATCGTGGAAGCACACATGCACAGAATGCATGTACCCTCTGGTAATTTAACATAGCTATTGAACATGGCCATTAATAATGAGTTTTCCCATTAAAAATGGTCATTTTCCATAGCTATGTTAGTTTACCAGAGGTAATTGGCATTGTTTGTGCTTTCGAATACCCAGCAACTAATGGACAATACCAGAGATTTGCACAAGAGGTTCCAGCATCTGAAAAATGAAACACCAGCACAGGCAGCTGCAAAATATCTCTCCACTATATCCCAGTCTAATTGAAACTACAGTACTACAGTACATCTGGGTAAATAAACATAATTCACTAAACTTAAATAAGGTCATTTGTGGATAATCGCCCCTACTAACCATCATTCCCAGGCTTCGGTCGCGACGTGAGGTCGTTCTAATTTACCCAGATATATCCTGATTATCCCCATTGTTGATTCTTAAATTCCACTAGATCCCATTAAATCACCATTAAATCACTGTTAATAACGGATTTTCCATGAATTTCCCATGTAGTTCACCAAGTTAAAATGGTCACTCTACATGAACAGCCTTGACAGCGCTTGCACTTTACCTTGGTTCCTCTCCAATCAAACGGCGGTTGATGCAACTTAGTTTATGTGCTGAAAGTATCCATGTGTTGTGCCACTTAATATCCACAATTTTTGATCCATGCTTGCTGGTTATATGTATATATATATAATATGGCTTATTATTTATCATATAGATATACATATATATATAATATGCACATGTATATATATAATATGTACATGTATATATATATATATATTATGTATAGCTGTGTTATGTCAGCATGTTTGATGGCTCGCCATTGGCTTAAAATCTTCCACATTCACCCTTGCACCGCTCCGCTCAATCCGGCCCCACCTGGTTCGGAGTTTCGTCCAGACTCAAAAAAAATCGGTAGCCTTGGTCCAAACGCGGCCCCCATAAAAACCACAATTTTTCCAAGTCGGATCAACGATTAAAAACACATATTTTGTTGGTCAGAGTTATTCCCCCATCATATCACCATATGTCCAACTGCAAAATCCCAACTGTTCTCTTAACAAGCCACACATTTTCAGACAGCCGCATCTCAACTATTCATTGATTTGATCACATCTATATGATGGTTATATCATCAGTAATTGACTGGTTCAACCCCCCTAGATATTGATGTTTTTTCTCCACTCTGATATTCCCATAGCATCCCATAGATCCATAGTTTCCAATATTTTGCTGGTCACTGATTAAACCGGCAAATAACTATCAGTGATCACTGGAAAGCATCCACAAATGCAGCTTGTGTGCTTGTGAATGCCAGGCAACAATCGCTCAGAACGTGATCGTGTACTGTATGATCGTATGGCGCAATATGGGTCTGTCACGGTTTTTCGATTTTGAATATCAATCGTCAACTTCTGCAAGAAGATTCCACTTGAGCTCAAATTGACTCGTCCATTGACTTGATGACGTGGTCCTCTATTTCGATTTCATTGGCGCCAGCCCTGGCGCCGTCAGCAATGGGTCCACTTTGCGGCGCTGCAGGAACAGAAGATGCTTCACCATGATTCTGTACGTCCATGGCCTACCTTCAACATATTTCATGATAAACTTCTGCAAATGTGTGACAATGACATTTATTACAATTCCTTAAACACACAAACACACAAACATCCATTTTCATGTACACACAGCCATGCATGCAAATGGATTTTCAAAAACATGGATTCCTGAGTTAACTGCAGTGTCCAGTACATGTCGATAGTGGTTATCAATGGATTGGTTTAAGGAAAAAATTACAGGAAAACCCCATATTTACTGGGAAAATCTATGGTTTCCGGTTAAGATTTTCCCTTAAACCAATCCATTGAGGTTAATATAGTTAGATCCTTTCGTAATTACTACTATGATCTACTAGTTGGTGGTATACCTACCTACCCCTCTGAAAAATGATGGAGTGAAAGTCAGTTGGGATGATGACATTCCCAACTCAATGGAACGTCATAAAATTCATGTTCCAAACCACCAACCAGATAAGTATTCAGGAAAATCCCAATATGGAAAAATAAAATTCATGTTCCAAACCACCAACCAGATATGTAACATGATATTCCCAGCATTGCTGATCGTTTTACCCCATCAAAGATATTGAAGATGTTGATACCAACCAGATAAGTATCCAGGAAAATATCCAAAAGTTTGGATCTAGCCCCATAAAAACTTCTTGGTGATATAACCACTAAG